CTCTACGTAAAGCCCATCGTCTCTTGAAGACTCTCCCATCCATCTGGCTCCTGTATTACCACATCAGTCGCAGTCGGTATTATTTTCGATCCTACCGGGTATAGCCTATTTTATTCGTTAGCTTGCGTATACCTGTCAAGTAGATTCTACTTACCTAGGCATCTTGATATTAACTTTCGCGCCGAAAACATTATTCGCCTTCCTACTGTTCTGCGGCCTCAAGCATTTCTTCGCAGCATCGTGATATAATGCTTTCGAGGTAACCTCCTCCTTCCATGCAATGAGTGACTCATAATACTCTCTTTGTTCCAAGTAATGTGACCTTGGCGTCTCCTTAGCTGGTCTCCAAGTTTTCCGATTTTTGGGCCCCTTCGTCAAATCAACGACTCTTGATTGTGTAGCGAGTAGCATCAATTCGGCCATAACATCCTGTCCTTCGGTCGCAAGAGCTTGTTCGTATTCATCAACTTCTTTGACTTCTGGCTTCGCCAACAATGGCTCCAATAGCCACGAGTCAGGTGCCAGTAGGTCGTTCTTGATAACCCTTGTGTTCTCGTCTCTCAGGAAATTCACAGCTCCTGTGAGTGAAGTGATTTCCTTCTTAAGCTCATCTACTTCTCTGGCTGTAGCAACCGCTTTTTCTGCACCAATCCTGTCAACCTCCCCAAGTGCTCTCTTATCGTTTGCGGTCTTCTTCCATTTATCAACCTCAGTCTCAAGGGATTGTATCTCTTCATTGAGATTCTCGATAGCATCAGTAAGATCTTTCTCGCGTATTGTTCCCTCTGACACGAGCTTTTCGAGCTCTTCAATCCGCTCACTCTGTTTAGTGACATTACGCATGCGAGATTCGAGGAGTTCGATTTTGACAGCGGATTCTTCCAAGGTTTTATCACGGAGCTTGATTTGTGTTGCACGCTCCAGAATATCATCTTTGAGACGACGGATCTCCTCTTCAGCGTCGACAGAAATCGTCTTAGTTGTTTTGAGTTCGTGGGCACGGATAATCCATGGGGCAGTTGCCTTTTCGACTATCCGCTCGTTAGCAGGTGATTCCGTAGACAAATAAAGATAAGACTTACACTCAGCAGTCATGTCAATATCCGAAGCCGTACTTCCAAGCTCGACAAGTAGGTTCGTAAGGTTCTTTAACTCCTTTCCAAAAGCTCCAAATATTTCCACCTCGACAGCTACTAGCTCTCTCTCAGTCGTCCTAAAAAACATTGATTGCAACTCTTGCCATCCAACATTCCCCTTCGCATCATCTGAATAAAGCAGCTCATAAACATCGTTCCCAATAGCCCTGGCATAATCTGCTAGCCGTTTTGTAGAATCTTCGCATGCTGTGAAGTTTCCCAGTTTGTCTTGTGTAAGCGACAATGAACGTGCCTGGAAATCGTTTAGAGAACGAAGAATTTTGCTGATAATAACCTTCGCACTCCGCGAATTTGAAACTATTGCGTCGGCACGCTTTGCGAAGCTCGAGGCGATGTCGTTCTCGCCCTCACCCTCTTCAATGCTGGGAGGGAGTTTATTCTGGACCATTAGCTTTATTTGTGCCATTGCTGCTGCTGTGGACTCCATGTAGCTCTGCATCAGCAGAACTCTCATATGCAGATCACTCGCGAATCCTTCCAGATCATTCTTAAGATGAATCTCCCCTAGGTGAGACATGAGTGCCATAGTCCGTTGCAGCTCAGCAACACACTGTTTCTCTTTCAAGTCATCTTTTCTCAATCCTTCGATCCATCCATTCAGAGCTCGTTCCACGGGGTCTAGCTCATAGAGTGCTCCCTGAAATCTTGCAAATTGTTGCGAGCTGCACCCGCTGATACAATTAACAAAGCGATCGCACATTGCACTAACCCAAGTGAGTTTATCACACATATCGCAAGCTGCCATAAGTGATTCTTCATGTCCAGCTTGTTCTTGCCCAACTTGGCCAGCGAGGCGTTCCTTAACAAATGTGTGAAGAAGATGGGCCTTGAATGCAACGCGTTTGAAACGGAGAAGGGCAAGCACGGAATCTCGTTCAGAACGATAGGCTTCAGGAAGAAACATTTGCACAATTGAGAGGTGCTCCACTGCTTCTTCAGCCTCTAGTCGACGCAGCTCGAGATCGATAGTCTTATTTTGGGCTTTTGCGGCGGTTATTTGAAGCTTCATGTTTATATCTATCATTGAGCGCGAGCGAGCTGTCAGTTCTTCGGCCTCGGTTTCAGTTATCTGTTGGCTAGCTCTCATGTCCTCAAGGTCACTAGATTCATGGTTAACACCCGAAAATGTGCAAGGAAAATCATAAGAAAGGGAATGTACCTCTGTAAGTTGGTTACCAATTCTCTGAATCTCGTAATTGTGTACTCTGCCTCCTCATTACTTGTATCCAACTGTGCAATCCGCCTTGACTGTTCTCCAATCACGAGATCTTTGTAATCGATTTCCTCTTGCATCTGTTTCTCTGTTTCAACGTGATTAATTTCCAGTTCATCACTGATCTCCTTCAGGCTCTCCAAATCCTCGATTGTCGCCTTCAACTCCTCTATTTGTTCACTCATGCTTAAATTCCTTTCGGTAAGATCCTCAAGCATCTCCTCGGCGCCCAAAGCAGTCTCTAACTGCTGCCTTAAATCCTCAACCGCTGCTTCGGAGATTTGAAGTCTCTCTCTAGTTCCTTCAGCAGCCTTTTTGATTTCTACTAGTTCGTTGTTATCCTCCTCGAGGCTTTTGATTGTCTCTTTCAGCTCTATTTCTGTCTGAGAGGTCATGTCCCTTAATCTTAGAAGCGCCTCTTTGAGTCTCTCGTTTTGTTTCTCCATCTGTAGCCAACCAGCGCTTGTCTTCTCCTCCTGTGTCATCTCCCCACTTAGCTCACTATTTTCCTCACGTAAAATTTCGACTTCCATTTCTAGCTCCTCCGCACGACCTCGTACAGCTTCAAGTTCTGCACGTAGCGATTCAGTTTGTTCTTCAGCCATCTCACGATCGAGAGTAGCCATTTCTACGATCATCTCATTTTCGACCTTGAATTCCTCCATTTCTTCGAGGTAAGTTTTCATTTCCTTGATTTCTTTTCGAAGTTCGACAAGCTCGGCTTGCTGAGGTTGGTATTTAGCTAGTCGTAGTGATCAGTTTCTTTGTTATGAACAGGGATAGCGGATCTGTTTCATCCAGTATTGCCTTTATCCCATACCTTGAAGCTTCTGGATAATCATTTCAAACTTATCCCTTTCATTTTGTATCCTTTCCAGCGCCTTTAATTTATCCCTATCCTCTGTTCTTTTTTTCTCCATCACCTTGATTGTACTTCTCAAGTCTTCTAACTCTCTTGCCATAGTTGCAGAAATAGCCCCAGCACTGGTCGCGCTCGGCCCAGTTACCGGCGAGCCAATTGTTGGCCCTGTGGTCGCTACCTTCGAAACTGGTTTTGGTGAACCAGGTGACAAGGCGTTCGATTCCCTTCTCCCCATTCGTGTAGATTGGCCTCGAGGATCTTTGTCGTCGCTTTTTGATCTCCTCATTGCACTTCCTGTACTGGTGATATCTGGGGAGCTCCGTTCAGATGATACATTTGATATACTTTGTTTGCGCCCCCCCAAAACTTGCAATCCGCCGGGTTTCAACGACAGACGGTTGCTACTGGGTGGTGGACGAGCGACTGAGCTTCCGGCAGATGAAGCAACCGATGGGGTCCTTGACATAGACGTAGAATTAACTGTAGATTGTCGTCGAGCCTGTCCCGGCTTTGATGCTGTAGCGCTGGCGGTTTGCTTTCCCCCCGGAGGGCCCATTGGACCTGCACGTGGTGCGGTATTTCCGGAGGTGCGGGGGGTAGGTGTTCCTGTACCTACCCGCCCAACCACAGAAGGTGGTCTAGCAAGTGGTGTACCTGTTCTTGAAGTTCCAGCACCGGGAGACGGACTTCCAGACAGCATCTTCGTCGGCGATGCAGGAGCCTACACCTGAACATCAGCTTCCCATCAATTGCCCTCCCCTCCAGGCCTCCTTCCTCTCCCACCTACGACGGACATACCCGCATGCTTAAGGGCCTTGGTTGCACAAGCCTTGGAGAACCATGTGCAGGCGAAACAATCGCCGAAGCTCTCTTCATAGCAGGTGGAGGAGGTCGCTCTATTAACCGTGGGACACCCGGTTTCACGAATATTCCTCTATTTGGTGGACAGTTGAAATACCGCTCCCCTTGTACCGAGCCATCGTTTTTACCGTCTGGGCCTTCGAATTCTATTCCAATCCATTCGCCGGGAGCGAAGAGAGTTTCGCCGACATAGCGGACGATGGCGGCATAGCCGCCTACATCAACGTGGTCACCAACGAGGAACTCTGCTTCTGCCATGATCGTTGAACTAGAGCTGGCGTTCGACGTCGAGAGTGCCCTCTGTTATTGTCTGAAGGGCGGGGTTGGTTTGATCCTATCAGGGTAAGGTCTTAAAACCCTTCGTCTGATTTTCTTCCCTGGAGCTCTCTGTGATGTTCGTTGTTGACAGCTAAGGTGGTCGCGAAATGATACCTGGTTGACCAAGAAAGCTGTAACAGGCAATCCAACCCTAAACCTCGCTAAGCCCAGCCCGAAATGGTCATAGCGTTCGTTACCCACTATGGGAAACATCGAAGATCACTCGTGAAAATAAAATAACACAGCATCCTTGAATCTCTCATTGATCAACATAGTATCTGGGTCAAGCAAGACCCGACTCGTATCATAAATATAAAATTCTTGATTGCAACTTATTATGGATGGACATCGATTAGTCCTACCTTATATACCATTAAACGTTAATCACAACTATGTAGTACGCTCCTAGCGAGCGCGGCACCGGTATCCTATTAACTAAGTACAGGAGAAAGGAATTAGACAGATGCATTACGGTATTGTTATGGAAAGTCGGGTTTGTCCGTGTTACTCGCTTCTCACTTTGACATACATATAGGAAAAATCGGGTTTCTCTATTGATGTGATGGGTACATCGTTTCGTCCATCAATTCTATCCTTCGCGATCCCAGCCACAAGATAGCCCATGTTTTTCAACAAGATAATCCACCCCCCTAAGTGTCATATCGTCACAAAGTTGGTCCATCAAAAACTGATAATCCGTGAACGTTATCATACCCCCCTCATCCTTCCAGATCATGAAGTCGTAATGATACATTATCTTCAACCACAACAGTTTTTTATGTCTACCGCACCGAAGGCACGAACTCATATGGTCGATCACTCTGCTTCGAGCTGCTTTGTCTTGTTTATAAGCCCTTCTCTCCCATAGAGGCCTAGCGCGAGACACATATGTGTAATCACCATGATACATGGAGATTCTAATAAGTGCGGCGTCTCTGAGTTGTGTTTTCGTGTAAGGTTTGCGAGTTGAAAAGGTTGTAACCGTGTCATATCTCACTTGGAACTCCAATAGCCAGTTGCCGAAGAAAACTTGTTTTGGGAGGCTATCTCCAGGCTTGAAAGAACATCCGGCAGTAATGTGATCATCGGCAGGGTTATCAACATATTTTCTGAATTTTTTCGCGGTACTGGTGAATAGCCGAAGGTTGTGTTTAAGTTGACGGATGTCTTGATCCTCCAGTACAAATCTCATGGAAGCAAAATCGGGGAGAAAACGCCCGGAATTGGCGTTAACCGGTCGCTGGTAAACGAGGACTGCGGCGATAGTTTTCCAAGTGGCTTCGCTGGAACCAACCATATTTTTACAAATACCAAGGAGGATTGATTTGCGGTATCTATTAAAGAGACGTTTGAAGGTATTCGAGGTTTGTATGAGAGCGAAAAGGTCAGAGGTATTATCAAGAGTGAGAATAACCATGATTAGTATATCAAGGTGTAGCCCTTCAAGATTAAATTTTGGCTCTTTGACACGGTGCCAACGTCGATGAAGTTTTGGAACAAGACCACGAAACAGGCATTCCATTTCTGATGACGGATTGAACTTGAGGGCGGCGTTTTGAAAGGAGCAGTCTGATAGATTATAGGAAGGGAGGAATCAGAACTAGAAGGTTCTGTTGATGAGGTAGATTATTGAGAAGCGGGTAACGAAATAACCTTAAAGTAGGTTCACATCCGTGTATAATTTAGGAATTTTGACATCATATACCATCACTCGGTCAGGACCGAGTATTTCTTGGCGCCAAGCCATAGCCTCCTGAGTCCTTGCCTGAACTCAGCCCGTATGAACTACATGTACATATTGTACATGCATTGATATCCATATCCAATGGTTAAATAGTTAAATATATGTACTCGGGTGTGGGCATAAGAACCAGAAAATGCAAGTGAGGATACAAGGATTATTTGTATGGAGTTTCTCTAGTCGAACCAGTGATTTTGTCAGCTCGATGATATCAGCGAACAGCGTTGTCAGATCAACGATATCCGTCAATTGACTCGGCCAATCGCTGATATTGTGACTTCCTGGTTGGCTAGTACGTTCGCGAATGTTGCCTATATCATATAATATATGCTGCGGCGAGCAGTGAGGTTAGATGTCAATGGTTATGACTACCGATCTAATACGAAAATGGTATTTTTCAGTGTTAGTGTATAATACAAATAGTGCTGAAAACACGAACCGAAAAGGTGCCAGCGAGTTCTGTCCAGTCGTTAAAGAAATCTCTAAGAGTAAAGTTATTATTACTAAATTACTCAATCAATGAGTTTGTGCTTCATCCGATGTCCCCACCGTTTTATCTGTTAATGATACTGGTACTATCGCCTGGTCGGCCGAGACCTGCTTAGAATCTGGTGCTCTGCATATTGTATAAACCCGGTGCCCACCTTGCCATATAGGTAACGATACAGTTCAGATTTCAACAAGCAACTCCCACAAACAGTAATTTTTGGTCCCAAAGTTGCCAAGGCTGCAGAGCACCAGATTCTGAGCAGGTCTCGGCCAACCAGGTGATAGTGGCAGCGCTCATGATATCCGATCATTACGCACCATATACACCCCTGTATTCCGACAAATCTCACTGGATGGACTAGCCAATCCGGAAGACACAATATCCCTCACCAGCCTAGTCAACCAGTGATATCTCAGAGCAGACTAGTCAACACGGTGAGGTCACTGATTGGACGAGTCTATTCGTTGATATCACTGAGTGGGCGAGCTCACTGGTTCGACTAGAGCAGAGTGGCGCCGCTCTGCCATACAAATAACCCTATTGCATTTTCTGGTTCTTTCTCCCATACCCGAGTATTCGGTCCAGTTTTACTAATACCCGCCTTGTGTTTCTTGTGTAGTAAATAGTTAAAAAATATTAAAGAAGATACATAATTGCTTGGAAATGAGTTCATATCCATCAATATTGTGAAATACTCATATCGCATTGAACTGCAGTGCTCAGCTTTGGTTCGTGTGGGTTTATGATGCGCGTCTAGATATTAAAAGAAATACATTCGAATGAAAAAATACTAATGATTAACAATGTGAAAGTTATAAAAGATAGCAGTCGTGTAAATTGAAATAAATGGGTAAGGGGAAATTGCAGACATTCGTTGGCATAAATGTAAATAACACAAACGAAATAGCTAATGAAGCTCCACCGAACTATTCAAACCATTTTTATACCCCATTGCGAGTAGATACACAGGGGTGATAATAGGCACTATTTTTGAGCATAAAAGTTTACTCATTCGCGTAGGAGTCTGCAGAGAAGAATGGTTGAACATCCGTTTCCTTCAATGTCAAAAACCGCTCCCCTTCTCTCCAAGTTGGCGGTGGCTTATTAGGTGGCGCTCCAGCTCCAGAAGCAGAACCGACGCTGCTTCTCACACTACTTCTCACACTTCCTACACCGCTCCCATGCCTTATCTCCTCAAGCGCGTTCAGTCTCAGTTCAGGCACCTTTCTTCGACCCGTCGCCACTGAATTGATGTTGCCTAGAACGATAGGAATAGTAACTTCGAGGTCTTTCGCTACAGAAGTAGATTTTTTGAACCAGCTACCACTCCCGTTTGTTGGAACGGTAACCTGGAGTATGTGTGCAACCACGAAATTCAGGTTTTTATTGATAGATTCCATTGAGATGGAGGTAGTAGCAGTGGGGGTGGTAGTAACAGGAGATATGGCTGGCGATTTCCCCTTTCCTTTCTCAGTGTACGTTGGTAATGGAATACTATCGGCTTTTCCAGAATCCAAAGCGAGATCAGAAGGGACCAACGGAAGAGTCGCGGTGGGGAGGAGGAAATCGTTGATAAACGTCTGAAATGTAGGAAGGCGGATTTTGATGGGAAGCTCAATGACCTTCCCGCCCTTCAATCCACCGTCTGAGCCAGCCATGATGTCAGGATTATCTACCATAGCCTCTCTAACTGTTCTAGCCTCCTCAGGACGAAGAGTGAACTTTCTCCCAGCAAGAACCTTTGACTGCTTCTTCCCAATAACCTTCATGTCCTGTTGATGACCCTCATCCTCGCTATCAGTATCTCTATTATCGCCATCGGAATCAATCCGAGCAAGAAATCGTTTCTCGATAACCCTAACACCAAATCCTTTTGGTATTGCCTCGCCATCTTTAACAACCAATCTCAATCCCAGAAATATCTCCTCGTCTGGTAAGAATTTGGTTTTTGGCAAATCTACTATGAGCTTTGCGACTGTGTTATTATCGTCGTCAATGATTCTACATGATTTGGTAATTGACAAATCAAGCGGGCGAGGTTTATCTATGACCGGCGTGCTGTTGCTCGAAGCAGAGATTGGAATATCTGCAGTTGTCAAGGTTAATTTAGGTTTTGCAACCGTTGCGGGGCCTTGGGATCCAATTTCAGGAGAAAGCGTGTTATCGACTGATCCTTCTTTCACAGATTCAACGCCCTTCCCCTTCCCGTTGCTTTGGTTCGGATTGGTATCCACCCGAGAAGTAGGTGAATGCAAAGATGGATCAATGTATGGTATAAAAAAGATTTCAAGTGGTTTGCTCTTGTACTCCAAAATCCTTGATCTTGTAGAAGAATCATCGCCTACAGGGCCAATCTTTGCATCTGTGAGTTTCGCAATGAACGAATACACAAGGTTGGGATTCTTGGATGACGGAGGTAGGTTTAGGTATGGAAAATTGAATCCAAAAAGGAATGTACGAAGTCCTTCTTGAAGGTCTTTGGCCCATAGTTAGCTTTACGGCCTCTATTTCCATGATCTAGCTTGGTATTTTTGAGGAATGTAAGATCTCTCACCTCCAGAATAAACCTCATGGGAGATGTTAAGAAAAGTTAAAAGGCACTTGTCAACCTCTGCTACGCCATTGAACGTGACTGTGAGAGTCATGCCTTTCAAGGGCTTCTTTATCCGTAGTGAAACATTGCCTATAGACCGCTGTTAGTGGGCTTATTCCGTCTTGCACCGACAGCAGCTTGCGGTAAACAGAAGAGCGTAGGACTTTAAGGTCAAAATAAGACTGGCAGAAGGGTCCGCCAATCTATATCGGGTTTGAAAATTAACAAAGCAGAAACACTGCTGATACTGACCATTGAAAACAGAGACCGGTCCAAAGACCAATTTCCCACTCTGACCACCAAGTTCCTCGATCTTAAAGTCCTCTACGCAGGATTCCCCTCCAACTCCTCTGAACCTATTTGTTGCTACAACTTTAGCAGCTACAGCATGCCACGCACCCAAGGGTGTTCGACCGGCAAGCATGTCGAGCGAAGGCGGCGTGAAGCTCGAAGGGCGCCTTTGAATCGAAATGCTGCTTTCTTGTTCGGATAAGTTGGCAGGCTCTGTGCTAGAGGTAGCTACAGTTGGGTGGAATGCGACAGTTTGTTTCGGTACTTCTGCAGGCGATGGATTTGAAGGTGACGTTGTCGAGATGTCCCTCAGTTCTGAAATTTGAGTTGAAGTTGAGGCTTGGGTGCGAGCACGGAATGGCCTAGTGCAACAGAGCTTAACTGTCATCGTGATAATGTTAGCAAAGAGCAGGATGGTTTGTGAAATACAGGAAGAGTTATTGTGGCGTGTTGGTAGGGAAGAGAGGAATTAGAACAACGCTTTAAGGTGAATGAAGACATCGCTGTTAAGGATACATGTATGGTGTGTAGTTAATGCAGGTAGTTCTATCCTGGTATTAGGCTTACAAAAACAGCCAATGCCATTGAATAGCAAAACCAAGACAAAGACAACACATGATAGAATGATATGAGAGACTGACCCACGTACTTGGACGCGACTTTGGAATAGAGGTAAGGCTGAAAGCACTAGGGTTCTCAACGATGATATGTGCTTGTTCAAAGGGTTATGACGCGGAGAACGGTGAACTTTGTATAAATTCTACTTATCTACATGTACGTGTAGAGAGAGGCGCAGTCTTGATATCGCATTATGTATGATGTGGCAGGGCAGTTTGTGTGTAATCCTTGCTGTTTTCATGGCGCAGCAATAAATGGACCAATTGTGTGAAGCGCGTCGTGACAGGCTGTGAAACTTCCTGGGGCATAGTAGTGTTGAAACTTGGAAGCGAAACAAGGCTAACCTTATACAGTTAACACAAAGAATGCTTGTTTGCTTTTCCTAAGAGTTTAGATCTCAGGGAGGGTAACTTCCTTGCTTAGCTTTTAATGATGCATATGCAGATGCAAGGGTCGAGCTCGAATCGCAGTATGTATGATGCACAGCGATTTTTTTCATGTCACTGCAGGTACTTAATGCACGTCCAATAGGTTCACCAACGGCTCTACACTCAGTTTTCACTTCGTATCCACACACATTATCAAGTTAAATATTAGACCAATCTTCGTATATGTGTAGGCGTACTGAGTTCAAAAAATGCGCCTGGGATGGGATTAATCAATTGCGGGATACCCCAAGCTGAAGCTTGCTTGAATCGCAACATACATACATGTAGGTACATACGAATTATATGTTGCAAATATCGATGGGCAGTATTGATGCAGTACTGTCGTTCACGGGGTATTGGCGGATACTGGGTGTTGGCGAATTGCAGGTAAAAGTTGGCTTGGCTGTCTCTTTTTTGCCCTGTCCGCCATCAGCCAGTATCCGCCAATACCCCGTGAACGACAGTAGCACTGGGATTAGAGAATAAGGTGTTCGTGTAGTTAGCCAAGAGCCAGCCAGGCTGAGACGTGGTCGGATCGGGAAAGGACAGAAGCGAGGGGCTTGGCAGTTGCATCGTGTCAGATGGATGAGAGGAAGGTCTCTCCTCCTCTGGGAGAATCATCATCAATAGAAGTACTATCATCAGTCATTCAAGATCGTATCACTTCAATTGAGTAAATAGAAACTACTATCTTCTGAACTACATGTACCGCAAAATCTCAGGAATAACGAAACGAACTGGACTGGAATATTGGGCTTCGGATTGGTCAAATGCTTGTTGAGCCTCAATCCGACAGACCCAAAGCGTAACTTTTAGTCGTCTTGACCAATGGGTAAGTGGTTATCCCTGCGATTCTGCGGTATTGTAGAAACATGTCTCGCCTTTGCTTCGAACAGATGGCGGTCACACAAGACGTTGAAATTACCGTCTTTGGCGACTTTCTTGATTACACCCTCTGCTCTTAACTAAAAGAGGCAGTTTTGACGTCTAGTGTGACCGTTAACTTCATCTGATTGAATTAGTAGACATTACATAGTACGTACTGATTATAGTATGCATATTATTAATATCTATGAAGTATTAGGCTCGTCCCCAACCCGTCTACTTCCATGCTTCCTACTGGTGAGCAGCTTGCTGCTAAGTAGGGGATGGGTACGAGACTAATGAAGTATGTACTTACATGTAATTAGTAGACCTCTACTTGCTCTATTAATTTGCAAAAGTGTATATATACATGTACATATGTACGTATTTGAATTCTAAAACACTGCAGCATGTAGCTTTCTCCATTCAAGTAGCAATAATATCAAACCCATCAACCGTTTTCATTGTGAAAGATGATCAAAAAATCCGGGGGTCTCTGGCTTGTACTTAACTACTAGACATCCACAGCTGGTGGAAATTCCTCAATATCTGTAAAGCAAATATCGGGTTTGACGTATGCACTATCCCTGGACCCTACACAGCCCATCGGTTATTTCTTAAATCACTCTTGGTGATTTTATCCGATCCTCAAGAAATTCACTCAGGCTTGCAGGAAATCCATTCTAGTAAGTGTTTTTAAATTTGTCTGCACTACATATCCATCAGCTCCAATTAGTTCTCACCTCTCGAGTCTTTGATTTGTCCTTCGTTTGGAGTGTTTGCTGAAGTATGTGCTGTGACTGGCGACAACATGCGAGGATGAGTTAGCGCCAAGCCGAAGAAACTTCTCGCACACTCATCTCCATCCTGCCTTTTCCCTTCCGGAGCCAATGATATCACCAACATCCGCTACAGCTTTGGATACCATGTACTCCTAACTCGTGGACGCCAATGACATTGCGGAAAGTTTATCTTTTAACAAGGTTTCTGTCAGACATGTACCGAGTGTCCGGCACGGAGGAGCTGTATTCTGTCAGCCCCCAGAGACGTTTCGGCATCCGGTATCTAAAGCTTCGAAGCGGGGATTCGACCCGACATTCGTTTTTGTGAAAGCAGAGAAAACGATTAGAATTCTGCAAGCCAGAGATCAAGCTTCATCCTAAGGTGCAGTTATTGGCTAGAGTGACTCGCTTTCTGGTTTATGTCGTTGCGCAACTGATTAGTTGGGCCATATAGCTTCTCCTATTCGGGGCACTGTAGCTTTCCCCTCCTTCCCTCCTAGATGCTCATGTCGAGCCCTCCGTTATCTTTTGAACAACGCAGCTAACATTGCTGAACCTAGTCTGCCTTAACCTCCGTACTTCATTCTGTGTCCAGCCGGGGTGGGATGCTCAATGGCGAAGAGTCATCTACCATGAAAGACCGAAGGAGGTCACCGAAAATCCCGAATAAGCCCAGCAGGTGGGAATGGAGAATTCCATGGTTATCGACATCTGATTCTTTAGTGCCGGTGAGGAGAGTTACAACTCCAAGTAAGTGAATGTCAGGTGAACAGTGATCGCCTCGTTATCGTGTTTGAAACCCACGCTAGGTTCTATCTCCGGAAGGCATGCGACTTCTCTGGATGTGATATAGAGATGATGTTCTTATTAAAGGCGGGGGCTATTGACATACACTTCTGACCCAAGAACATTTTTCATGAGCTGTGTATGATTACTAATCAAAGTGTCCTCCAATCAGAACGAAGTATCGAACCACGTTTTTATTTCCTATTTTTGTGTCGAGGAAACAAAGCAAAGAATACGATCGTTGGAACCGACCTATCCGGAATCGATCAGACGTACAGGCAGAAGTGATCAGAAGCCTCTTGTCGTATAGTTGTTTTGTCGAATGTTGGCTCTGGCTGCCGTTTACTGGATGATCATCTAGAAACAGCTTCAACACTTTGCCCCGCTCCCGCTCCCCGTGCTTCTCGGAAGCTTTTCTTGGATAGGTCATGCTCAATTCATGAGCTAAAATGGCGGATGATCCTGATAACTATCCCAGCAACCCTAGTTCGGAATGCCTAACTACACCTATGGGAAGACAACATCATGAAAAACAAGCTGGACCGCAAAATGGCATGCACATTCGGCAGCAGGAAGCGCTGAGGAGACTATCGAAGTTGATGCGCCGGATGCTGATAGAGGTTTTCAATCACCATTCAAAGGAAATACGACAAATACATGTAGTACCGTATGCATTGAGTGAAAGGGTTAGGGTTAGGCACCGTGGTTATGAGTAATTGGGGGAAGGGTGTGGATTGATATTCATGCAGAGTAATGGGTCTGAGGTTGCGATGTGAAAATATTAATGCGAGATACATACATACGAAAATTCGAGATCATCCGGGAAAACATCCGGGTGGGTAGCTCGTGCAGCATTACAGGCGGGAAAAAACAAGTAATTGGCCGAGATGATTTTGGCGACTTCAATCGGATATGAGGATCCTTTTATCGAATAGGTCCTCGGGAAATAAGGTTTGAGATTATTAGTTTAAAAAGAAAGTTGACACTGCCATCTTTATGTCTCGGCTATCGAGTAGGTACTCTGGTAACTCTACGGGCCAGAAAATATAAGGGTTTCAAATTATCAATTGCAGTAGAGATTCATAGAGTACATTGTAGTCTGGGTTCAGTACATTAGTTCGGGAAATTTAGGAAGCGCTCCAACGGGTTTGTCACCGGGGAGATGAAATAGGCGGTCACTGCAGTCATGAATGGAATTACTGTGATGTCGCTGCAGGACTCTTACACGCCAGCCACATGGTAGAACCGTGGGTGGGAGCGCGCATAGAGTGTTCTACTGTCTACATATGATTAGGTAGAGTAGAGGGTGTAAGCACATGTGTAACATGTAACTAATCCAGTGCTGGACGTCAAGAATTTACTACTGGAGCTGGAGGGAGGGATAGCTGCGAATAATGTTCGAAACTTGGTACTGTAGCCTATGCGACGTATGTTGTCTAGAGTACCTACATGTATGTAGAGTAGATACTTCCAATTCTAATCCTTGATTTTCCAACGTTCTGTCGAACTACAAAGGAAAACATATCAACGGCTGGGTAAACTATGACGAACACGGAAGGAAGATCCGCCAAGCCCATTTCACGCTGAGCCCCACAGTTTTCCAACAAACAGGATGCCGAGAAGGTATCATGCATGGCATATCAAAGGTTCCAATTTTTCTACCTGGCCTGGTTGGTAACTCGGTAACCACTGCCATACTTTCCGTGAGCATTTCTCTGTAAAACGGATAATCTTACTTAGTTGTACATACATACCCCTACACCCCTAACAGTCCCCACAACCTTGAAGGATCCGGAGGTCATTCGAACTTTTCAACTTGACGAACACGGGACTGCCTAGTAAACCGCAACACCCTCTCTCAAAATCACTGTTTGTCACTTAAACAACTAGCCGTGCTTTTTCTTGCTTTCCTCCCCCCTAAATACTGTACAGTCCTTCTCCGCAGCCAATAGTGTCCCTTTGTGAAGCACGCCCGCCGGCTGTCTCGCCTCGGTACCCCCTCATTCCGAATTTCTTGTCTGACTGTTCTCAGTTTTGTGCCCCACAAAAGCTTCCCACTATCGTGATACCAATATCTCTTGTATCACATTGCCCTGTTAACAGCAGCTCGGTTTCTAAGCTTGGCTGCTCTATCCCTATTTCGATTTTCCTGCGCTCCAGTGCAGGAATTGCTTAAAACACAGCCATCATAGATTCCCAATCTCCTCTTCCTGAGGGGGACAGCACGGTTCCAGTCGAATCTTTTCAGCTCCAAGATCTTTCATATATCCGCGATCAACGTCGGAGAGACGAGAAACAGAAGAGAGGCGACGAAAAGTTTATCAGACGACTTGAACAAGCAGAACTAGGCATGAAGTTCTCCCACAGTATCCAATTCAATGCAGTTCCAGACTGGAGCTCTCATTACATCGCGTATTCGAATTTGAAAAAACTGTAAGTCGTTCTAGATTCTAGCATTGTTTTAGGTTAACTAGGGGGCTCTAGTGTTGATTTGACTAATCTCTTGACAGCATCTATACCCTTGAGAAGAATGTTGTTCAGTCACAAGCTCATCCCGAAGAAAACGAAGAATCGGCGCTTATTCCACGGGGAAGAGATGCCGAGCCAGATGTGATTTTCCGGAGGGCACTCGACCATGAGCTCGAAAAGATCGTGTCATTCTATAAGTCGAAAGAGAGTGAGCTCCTGAAGGAAGTTTTTGAGCTTTCTCTCGAAGCCAAATCGTTTGAGGATGGTAACGATGGTGATGGAGGATCCTCGATATATGGCGGGAGCAATAGCGGGAGAAGACGCAGTGTAGGGCCTTCGGGGATGACACGAACGAGAAGTAACGACTTCCAAAGTGATAGGGACGATGAGTCAGATGCTTCTGACGAGGATGGCGAGAATGCACAAGCATCAGGCCTACTTCCGAAGATAAAAAGAGGAAGAACGTGGAATAAGGATAGCTCACATAGCCATCACAGCCAACAGAGTCATGGACCTTCGGACTCACGGAGACGTGACTCTCAAATCTATGATGATTTTCATGAGCAGTCCATCGGTGCATTATATGATAAGAGGATTATGTTAAAGAAGCGGAGTATTTCGTTATTTGTTGCGTTGAGGGAACTGAAAAGTTTCATTCAACTGAACAGGACGGGTTTTACGAAAGCGTTAAAGAAATACGACAAGATTCTCAACAGCCACTTGAAGGACGAATATATCTCGTCGGTGATTGAGCCATGTTACTGCTTCCGGAAGGCCACAACAATCGAGTTGGATAATGCTATCGCCAAAATTGAAGAAATATACGCAAATTTGATCACTAAGGGAGATATAGAGGAAGCCAAAAAAGAGCTTCGCCTTCACCTCAGGGAGCACGTTGTATGGGAGCGCAATACGGTCTGGAGAGAGATGATTGGTATTGAGCGAAAAGCTCAGGCGGCGAACATGGGCCTGAGAAGGACTTTGTTAGGGGACAACACGGACCCCACAAATGCTAGGTTAACAGGAGACGAACCGGAGGTTTCTGCAACGAAGGAGCTTGCCACACCTGTTGGCAGGATTAGATATCCAACTTGGCTATTTACCCCTGGGTTCTTTACGCTATTTGGTATCATTAGTACATTTATGATACTATTAATCGTCCCAATCTCCGAGAGCCCAGAGCAGCATAACTGCTTTGCTATGCTGGTATTTGTGTCTCTTTTATGGGCAACCGAAGTAAGTTTCATCACTATTACACAAGTTAGCAATCCAATCTGATCATAACGGTACTATAGGTTATTCCTCTCTTCGTAACCTCTCTCCTTGTCCCATTTTTAGTAGTCATGTTACGGGTTGTAAGAGAAGACGCCAAGGGTCATCGTCGTCTTGAATGCAATGAAGCTACAAAATACATTTTTTCGGCAATGTGGACTCCTGTGATCATGTTGCTTCTAGGAGGATTCGCGATTGCTGCAGCACTAAGTAAATATGGTATCGCTAAGATGCTTGCAACATTTGTTCTTAGCAAGGCGGGAACAAGACCCAGGACTGTACTGGTGACCAACATGTTCGTAGCTATGTTTGCGAGTATGTGGATTAGTAACGTCGCTGCGCCGGTTCTTTGCTTTTCTATTATTCAGGTGGGTAGTTCCAAGAATCGTCTTAGCTCCAATATACTAACGATTTTTTTTGTGTGTAGCCAATGTTGAGGAACTTGCCTTCAGAATCGAAATTCTCAAAGGCATTGATTCTGGGAATTGCCCTGGCCTCCAATATCGGAGGCATGGCATCTCCTATCGCCAGTCCCCAGAACATCATTGCGCTTCAAAATATGACCAATCCTCCTAGCTGGGGTAGTTGGTTCTTTGTTGCCCTTCCTGTTTGTATTCTCTCTATTCTTGCGATATGGGTGCTTCTCTTGGTTTCTTTCAACCCTGGAAAGGGTACGGTTATTATGCCAATTCGTCCGGTTAAAGACAAGTTTACTGGTGTCCAATACTTTATCACACTCACCACACTTATAACGATCGTTCTGTGGTGCTTTTCCCATCAATTGGAGCATGTTTTTGGTGATATGGGAGTTATTGCGATTATTCCCCTTGCTTTGTTCTTTGGAACTGGTGTTCTGACAAAAGAGGATTTCAACAATTTCCTGTGGACAATCATTATCCTCGCAGCTGGAGGCCTCTCTCTTGGCAAGGCAGTCAATAGCTCTGGACTCTTGCACACGATTGCTCTCGCCATCAGGCAAGAAGTAGAAGGGATGAGCATGTATGGTGTACTGGTGGTATTTTGCGGATTGATACTCGTAATCGCGACATTCATCAGCCACACTGTTGCTGCTTTGATCATTTTACCTATTGTGGCACAGGTTGGTGCGGGGATGGATGAGCCACATCCAAATCTATTGGTTATGGGCGCAGCATTGATGTGCAGTGCCGCAATGGGACTACCGACGTCAGGCTTCCCTAACATGAGTATGTTTTACTTCCCTCTGAAGCATTGTGATTTAATACGTGTATTTACTAACAATGTCTGCAGCGGCGATCATGATGGAAGACTCACAGACTGGGCAAAGATATTTACGTGTTCAACATTTCATCAGCAGAGGTATTCCAAGCAGTGTGATCACTTTCGGAATTGTCATCACAGTTGGATACGGATTGATGCGGATTGGTGGGTTCTAATGAAACCAAAATCCGGCCTTGTGCATGTTACCGAAAATTTCATATTCACTTATTGCCACTTTTTTTTTTGTTTTCGAGGTTGGATTTGAGCATGAACTTTATGCGCTAAGAGCTAACGGACAGTTTATGAGTGGGGTATATTCTTTTTGCATCTATGGGCTTGATATAGGGGTTGATTTCAATTGCTTTGGGTGGCTGTACGTTATTTCTTTCCAGCGGACTGCATATATGCCTATTGCTTGGATTTTTTTTATTGAGCTTTGTTGGTGTTGGGATCGGGGTTCAATAGTGTAACAGTAGTATTCAATGTTATGTGCTCGTAATTGAATATTGTGTGTATTGCTGCTGTACGGCGCCGGAAACAACACACCTATTAAAACAACCCAAACCATAATTGTAACGTGCGGAACGGCAAATGACTTTGGTTTGCCAAACTTGGAGTATAGGCTGTTAAAAGTCCTAATGTAAGGGAAATAAACCCAGATAATTCAACCTAGATGTTTATTATGGAAGTGTAACTTTATGGAAATTTTATATGGCGGCGCGTAGACATTATAGCATACTCCCGAAGCTACATACTCTATATCCTATCCTAGAAACATACATCATCTCTACACGTGATTTGAAGGTTTCTGGTGGTGCCCCCCGTGTTCGAGTTTTTTGATACTTTCCAACTACCGGCTTTAACTATCGGCCTACTCTAGGAAGGGAAGTTTTTAGCCCCGTTAAACAACTTCACGTCATACATTGTACCAGTGTTTTGTCTTAGCCAGAAGATCGGTGATATCATTCTGGGCTGGCTCTAGCACAGCGCTAGCTCCAGCAGCTGTACATGTAGTTACACAGCCAAGAAAACATCTGAGGGAGAGATCTCTTCCAATCAATTAGATAGGATGAAGTAACTTACATACACTCAGTGAATTGACATCATAAAACTAGGCACCCGAGAGACTCGGGGAAGATTCCAGGGGCTAGTTTCGTCACGGGATCTCTCACGACGTTAAATATGGAGTTGTGTCTGGTGGATCGATCTGCCTCGATAATTTTGGGTTGGCCCACCCCCGATCCTCATACAGCATGGCTTTTCAATCCTGTACTGCAGAGTCCCTGGCTTGGCCAACGGAAATGTAACTCGTATCAAAGGCATTTCTTTAGGTTGCCGTATCGACGGGGTCCCATCATGGTATGGATATGACTTCCGGCCAAGATGCTGCCCTTAAGATAAAGAAAGTCAAGTTGAATCTTACGGATATCACTTACGGATATCACTCGTGAAATTGGTGCATAACTGTAGTCCGCTATTTGATTGATGAACCGTAAATGTATACTTTCTGGTCAGTACATATGTATCTTTTTGTGCCCTACTGAGTGATACCCAGTGATCCGATTGGCCACAGCCACAACGCTGATAGAACTACTATCCTAGCCTTCTCAGACAAAGCGTTAGCTATCCTTAAACACCACCAGTTAGAGCCGCAAGGCGTAGTCGCACCCCAAAACTTACACTTTGTGAAGGCCCCCTGTTGATCCTGAAATTGATACTGAGAGTTACAAGGTAAGTTGCTCATTCCATTATCACATGGGGGGCTTTGAACTAGCTATTTGACAGGTTGACCCATAATGTGATGAGATTTATAACCAATAGCCACTACCGACGTTCAAAAGAAAGAAATAAAGAAAAAAATTTACCGCTTTCATATTTGCTACACCCGAGATTCTTGTGTAATGTTTCCAGTCATGAGATATCACGCCCTTGCAATTGTTCTATAAATAGAACATATCCCAAAGAGTCCTTCTGTAATGATCAGACAGACAACATGTAGACGGGCATGTCCGTTAGTGAGGATACTAGATCACGTTATGAGGACAGTATTTAAACCCACTCACCCCGCTGTTGATGCTGTTCACCCCACCAACTCTCCAACTCCACCATACCATCTCTTGTCATATCCTGGCTGTTGGAGCCCTGAAGGTACCTGGATCAGGCATCACTAGGAATGGCCCTCTCCGAGAGCTAGTTATTTAGAATTACGGCACCGGGATCGATTCCACGATTGCTTTCAGGAGCCTTCACGCCCCAGGGAATGGCCCGCATAAGTGAGCATGTCCAGACGCTCTGCAATCACGAACCTGGTTACCAACAAGAATGCAGCTCAGAAAGCTATAAGACCCCAGGATGAACCTTCGAGCAGCCTTCTCCTTCGTGGGATAGTTCTGTTGGCTTGGGGGTTTTAACAGCTGTCGGGCCCACTGTTTCCTCTGCCGGGATCAGCTATGGAATGGCCTCGAAATCTCCCTCATTCAGAATGTTGGTCTCAGATGGTGCTGGGCACGGCTTAGGAGTTTAACCCCAGCCCGAAATGCGCCAACCCTTCATTACGAAGTTGGAATCGGATCTATCAGTGTCAATGCCGTTAGATTGCTAGTGAGACTAGCACACGTACTGACGTTGACGGGAACTTCGAGGTATATCAGGGTGAGAAGGAACTGGAAGGACCAAGGGGCATGAGCCAAACTCATACCGGGCCCGGAAAAGCCCTCATCGCCAGGCTGTGGACTATGCTATCAATCTTATTGCTGTTCAAAGACCCCTTCTTGTGTTTTGTAATCAAACAAGACCAGGCAGTGCTCGGCAGAGGCCAGATGTTACTTTATGTAATGAATGGGTGCCATACGGCATAGTGGGAATACGCTGCCGGGTGATCTACAGGGCTCTCGAGGACACAGGCATACGTACACGCCTCATCTAGTGGAAACGACACTACCAGTAGAAGGCTTACGCAGCAGTCTTCTCTTGTCTTAGTCTTTTTTTATCTACACCTGCAAGAGCTAAAAGTGTGAAATGATCGAATAGGCAACTATCTATGCAAAAGCAATGCAAAGCAAGAAAGCATAAGAAGGATAAACTCCAATATAGGTATGATGAGTAATTTCTTATAGCAAAATGGCAAAAGAAGAAGAAGGAAGAAGAAGAAAAGTCAACAGATGTACAGAAACATCCCCTCGTGTTAGGCAGGTTGAAGCTTAATCGTAGAACCTGCGGTTGGGGTTGGGCCCGAATACGGTTGTACGAATAGATGGCAAGGCCTCGGTTTCGAGAAGCTTGAGGCGTTGTTCAAGGGTGTTGTCGATTGAGATCTTGCCATTACCAGCAATGATCCAGACACCGCCGTGGCTAGAAATACTATTAGTGGAGTCGGTGGTAGTAATGGGACAATGGGACTTACGATTCCTCTGGTAGCGGCCAGTCGTGGTCAATAGTAACAGCAACATCCCCCCCCATCTTCCCCTTAAACCCTTCCTTCGCCTTCTCCACTGCCCTTCCAACGATATCATTGTCGCAGCTTCTACACCTGAGCTCCACACTTTGCTCATTCATTAAAAAAAGTCCCTCCAACACCAGGTTGGCCAACACCTCCTCGTATCTTCCCTCGTCATCACTAATGTACTTCAACTTTCCTCTGGCCTCCTCAAAGATATCATCCAGCAGGGTTTGACGAGCCGACAAAACCTTGATACGCGTCTTGTTCGCCACGGTACTCCTGGCTATCTGCTGCGCAAGCGACGCCTGCTTGTATTTACGCTCGTACTGGGTGTCGATTGCGGCGGTCTCGGCACGCACGAGACGGCTCTTTTCAATGGCGAACTCTTCGTCGGCCTTGATCTCGATCTCGCGAGCTTTTTCGAGTGCTTCCTGCTTGATGAAGGCTACCATCTTCTTGAGCTCGCCGGCGACCTGGGTGGATGTGAGCGGGGGTTTTCTTTTTTTATATATATTACATATTGAATGATTTGCAGTACATGGGAATAGCTATGTGTGTGGTGGGGCCCGTGACAGAGCTCTGTGGAGGAAGATGGTGGATGCGGGAGCTACTGTGGACTACTAACCTGGTCATCACTAAGTGCGTGGGCCATTGTGAGGGCTCGTTAGGACGATTAACTACGTGAGGAGCGGTTTCTGTACAAGCAGCGAGAACTATAGCTGCGATGAAGGGTATCGAGAGCGGGCACGAGGAGTGAGGGTGGTGGGACTTGGGGGTTGAAGATTAGACACGAAAGGCGGGGGGGGTAGTGAGAGTGTCTTGTCTGTGGTTGCAGTCTGCGGAGCTCCAACCAGTGACGGTGACGACGATACGACCGGGAGGCTCCGCATGCTGTAAGTGGACAATGCAACGGCCGGGGGTTTTTGCGACTAAAAACGCCCCTCGGATACTCCCCAATAGATGAAAGGGGTAACCGATGGGTTGCGAGAGAGTTGTATGCATATTGGTTGAACTGCTCTATTCGTTCGTTCGTTGAGTCGCTTTGGGGGCGAGGGAAGCTCACGGATGTCAAAATACAGGGAAAGACGAAGGGGAGCTCTGGGGATGCGCGGGTCGGTGTGTGCATTACTTACTTTTCATGTAGGCATGATCACACAAGGTTGTTTATTTTGCGGAGAAGCAGGTGCTACATCGATATAGATACCTGTACCTAGAGTACAGTGGTGGATAGGGTTTCTTTGTATTTATTTATTTATGGAGAGACCTTCTCTCCTGCTCGGAGAGGATATATTTTTGTCCGTTCGCGTAAACACCACCACTCGGTGAAGGCTTTGTTTGTCCAAAGTGCAGCACCTGGGGGCAGTTATAATTACTACGCATGTACCCTGTTGCTGCTCCTCTGCCCTATGGATGTTGGGATGCATAATACATGTCCCCATGCGAAGTAAAAGGGGAAAGCCGCCGTCTCTTCTCTACATACTCTAGAAGAAGAAGTTGGATACCGACATCGTGCAATACTTACGTCTCCGTCCAGTCTTTCTTTCTCTCCACTTACCTCACTGCATGATCGTGATTTCCATAATTACTTCTTTTTCCTAGGAGATCCTCGTCTCAACTGTCAGCAGAGCTTACATACTACTAACTGCTTCTCGAGTAGTTAGTACAGAGACAGTTACCTGCTGCCCAACCCCTTCCCCTCCTTCTCCCCACGAACGAAACCATCATTTCCTTGTTTTGCATTCCACTCTCCTTCACCAAGTATCTGCCAGTACCACTTACCTGCCTGATCCCCATACTACGTATATCACGTCCGACATAGACATAAACATAAACATACACCTACTACATCAGCTGTATCTGCCGGTCCCTTAAACACCTCCAGACAACACCACACCACAGAGACATTATTATACATAAATCCCATCTGTATCTATCCGTATAGGCCCACCAGACCTCGACACACACCACCATCACACCGCCACCCCCTCCTCCACCCCCTCCACAGCTCCCATGGGCCTCGGCGACCTCTCCCCAGGCGCCCAGCTCACCATCGGCGTTAGTGTCGGCGTCCTCAGCACCAGCATCCAATCCCTCGGACTAACCCTTCAGCGCAAGTCCCACCTCCTCGAAGATGAACTCCCGCACACGCACAAGCGGCCGCCACACCGCCGGCGCCGCTGGCAAATCGGAATACTCCTCTTCATAGTGTCAAACATCCTCGGCTCGTCGATCCAGATCACGACACTGCCGCTGGTCATCTTGTCGCCGCTGCAGGCCTCCGGCTTGGTCTTTAACAGCATCTGCGCGACGCTCATCCTGGCGGAGCCCTTCACGAGGTACAGTCTGGTCGGCACGCTGCTGGTGTGTGTGGGCGCGGCATTGATTGCGGCGTTCGGCGCAATGAAGGAACCGGCGCATAGTCTCGACGAGCTGCTAGAGCTCCTAGGGACCCACGGGTTTGTGCTGTGGATATCGGCGACGGCGCTCATGGTGGTGGCGATCCTGGGCGGGGTGAAGGCGTGGGCGGTCATGAGGCCGCGCACGAGGAGCGCGCCGAGGGTGCTGCTGCTGAGGGGGATCGCGTACGGTTGCGTGAGGTATGTGCTTTGCCCGGGTTGCAGGTACTGGCAGCTAACCCCCCGTCCGTAGCGGAATCCTGTCGGCACATTGCCTGCTGCTTGCGAAGTCGGCGGTCGAGCTCCTGATCAGGACCATCGTCGACCGAAGTAACCAGTTTAATAGATGGCAGTCGTGGATGATCATTATCGGCCTGGTGACGCTCGCGCTCACGCAGCTGTACTATCTCCACCGCGGACTGAAGCTGTGCTCTACGAGCGTGCTGTACCCGCTCGTCTTCTGCGTCTACAACATCATCGCCATCCTCGACGGGCTCATCTACTACCAGCAGGCGTCGCGGCTCTCGGTCCTGCACGGGTGCTTCATCGCATTGGGAACCGTCATCCTGCTCAGCGGCGTGTTTGCGCTGTCGTGGCGCCTCGAGGAGGAGACTGCGACGACGGCTGGGAGCGCGCTGTCGCCGGGCGTGGGCTTCGTGGATACGGACGACGAGGAGGAGGGTGAGATTGATGATACTCTGGCGTCGCCGAGGTTCTTGAGGAGGCGCACAATGAGCCAGGCGGACCAGATCTGGGGCGAGCTGCTGGACGAGGAGGCTGCGGAGGCGGTCGATGAGAGGTCGGGGCTGCTGCAGAGGAGTGTTAGCTCGCCGGGGGTAAGGAGAAAGTGGGGCAGGGAGAGGAGGGGCAGTTATATGTTCCCGCGGGTGGGCGGCAGTGCGAGGAGGGCGAAAAGGTCGCAGGATGCGATGGGCGGGTGGTGGAAGTTGGGGTGGTGGAAGGGCACGGGGGAAGAAGATGCGGCGGCAGCAGGAGCTGAAGGGAGGAGGGTTAGTGTAGAGACTCTGGGGAACTATGGCGGGACGGGTATGGGAAATAGAGAGGTCATTGTTGTGGACGGAGAGGTCTCGCGATGAGCTCGACCGAGTACCCTTCCTTTTGTTCTGTTTTTTTTTTATTTTTTGGCCTGGTCTGCCGTTGCATCTGTGACTGTGTTTGTAGTTTTATTTTTTTTCTGGGTCTGTATGGGATAGGGCGGGGGTGGGGAGGGGACTGATAACTTGTACTTACATTTACTACTATTTTTCTCGATCTTTTCTTTTCTTTTTTTACTCCCTATGTTTCTTTTGTCACTTCTTGATATATTTATTAGGGCGTTAGTCTATTTTATCTGTTAGGAATATTCTCTTTTTTTCTTGGCTGATATTGGCTTTTCTTTTCCGTGGTGGATTTCTCTAGTCTCTCTCTTGGGTGCGTTATCCTGCTGGGGGTCGGTGGAGTGTGGGGAGGGGGGTTGGGAGTAGAGTGGGAGTAGAGTGGGAGTGTGTATAGATGGATCGGTTTATATACAGCGGCGGTAGAAGTGTGAAGATGAGGGCGGGGGTTGTGGGACAATGATAAAGAGAAGAAATTCGGGAGCTTGATATATGCAGCACTAGAGAGTTTCAAAGAAAGTGGCCGGCCGGTCAAAGGAGGAACGGGAAGGAACGGGAGTGGAGTATAGTCTAGGTACATGTGACGATGGCGAGGAGAGGAAGACGGGAGAACTAGGTATATATACACCTATACGTGTTGGACTCTGTATATAAAAAAATGAAACGGAGTGCGAATGCGAGTGATGGTTCGTGATCTAAATTGCTTCCCATCCTGAAAAGGCAATGTGCTGGGAGGTGGTATGGCAGTGTTACTAGAAATCCAGTCTTCTGTGTTATGCCTGCCCGGCGTGAGCCAGTTGGTTCTGCGTATTTCCTCCGCATTGCGGGGTCCAGGAACTGGGTAAATTTATAAAGGGAGTTGAAGTTTGACTCTGGTCCTCCCCAGTGATGGCTTTACGGAAGAAGAACTCGAGTAGAAACGTGACACAACTGTATGTGTATAGTAAGTAACCCTTGTCCTTATGCCTGCAATGGAGAGATTGAAGACGAAGGGGAGGATATCAGCGGCGTTCCCCCTCTGGTCTTCATACTCAACCAGATGTGAAAGCCTTTGAAAGCCTCCATCTTTCTTTCACCTCTATCGTGTATAAATTGCTGTTTCGAGCCTGGAGAAACCATGCCCCGATTCGAATTCAACAACAGAAAATTAGAAGGCAGTCCCGCGAGTGATAGGCCATGATCCAAAACCTGACCAGCCTATTTTTTTTGTTTTATTTATTAACCTGACCAGCCTATGTTTCTGCTACCAGTTGTAGAATTCAAACTTTATCTGGGATAGAGAGAGAAACGCCTGAAAAAAGTTTTTCATAATATGTGTAGCTACGTAACTTTGAGATGTAGTGGATCAATATCATTGCTAAGTTTGTACAGTTAACCAGTCGGTAAATTTCACAGCGAGAAATAGCTAGACCGCAGCATGCGCAATGAAAACAATGTGTATGTGGGTATAGATTTCGGACGCCTTCCACTAAGCCTCCGAGACAGCAGGCAGAAATGAAAGAACGGTACTATGTTTCTGAGGGAGGTGTGCACACTTGGCTAAGTTGTTGCTCATGATTCGGCCTCAGTATTCATTACAGCACTGGCTTCTGTGAGTGCCTGTGAGTGCAGTCAATCTCTATAAGGTACCAAGCTGCTGCTGAGAAGCACGAAAAGGTTCACCAGGCTTTTTATTTCTCGCAGAGGTGATATTATTAACACAAAGGTAGGCCGCAACTCTCACGACTAGTGAGTAAATGATGCATCCATTAATCTCGCACCCAAATCCCTTTTTAGAAAGAAAAAAGTACTACCACGCTATGCTAGCTAATCATTGAATAGAAAAAAAGAGGGGGAAAAAAAAGAAAAGGCACTCAAGTCTCTACGAGACTTCACCTCGCAGCAACGGGAGAGAAAAATGCTCACTGATCCGCTACTATGTTAGCAGGGGCAGGCAGCCACTGGTTCACATCCACAAAGTCGACCTCAACCTCAACCTCAACCCGTTCTTCCTGAACCAGCTCCGCCTCAACCAGCAGACGCCGTCCCTCCATCGTGTCGTTAACGCAGCTAAGCACCTCCCATACGTCAACGACGCTGCGGTCGACAGCCTTCAGCCAGTCCACGATCCCCGCCTGGACGGCCATCTCCTTCGCCGCGAAATAGCTCTTCATCAGCTGCGTAAGGATGTAGATGACTTCCTTCTCGGTAGCGCTGTCGGGCGTCGGCGGGAGTGTGCTTTTGAGCGTTGTGACGAGCGTACGGAAGACACGCGGCGTACAGAGTGCACCGAAGGGGCCTGCAAGCGGGCATTTTAGATTGTTGGCGTTGTGCTGGAAAATAAGGAGGGGGGGAGGGTAGTTACCAGGAGCGGCGGCAAGGCAGCGGAGTGCTTTGAGGGCGCGGAGGCGGGGAGCGGGCGGCCTTGTCGAGATCTGCGTGAGGAGGAAGTCAATGTTTCCGGGTGTGGTTGCACGCTCGGTAATGATCTTCAATGCGCTATCTCCCTCATCTCAATCAGCGCCCCCTTCAATACTCTCTACCATTCGGAAGGAAGAACTAACGCGTTCCTTAGATCGAAATTGATCCCCCTTGCCAAAGCCTCCAAAGTCTCGAGCTTGATGGCTGCAGACGGCATAGTCAGTATCTGCTCCGCCATGCGCATGTCAGAGGAAGAACCGTCTTCGGTGGACCTGTCCACGGCTGCATCGTTCGACTGCTGGGGCGGCTTCGAGACGCAACGCGTCCTGAAGGCCTGCAGCTGGGAGTGCGTCGTGTAGGCGGCATAGATCGCGAGAAGGCCTGTGAGGTGTTTGTTAGTTGTGGGGTTGGTGGGAGCGGGGAAGTACTAGGGGATTGACCGCCGAGGATGTAGAGGTATGGTGGGGTCGTGGATGAAGACATTGAGGATGGAGAATGAGGCTTTTGTAACTTGTGCCCTAGTGGTAGGATGGAGCTACTGACCGACGATGGTGGGGTGCCGAGACAGGTTGTGATTGGTGGGTTGGTGGGTTGGTGTAGCTATGGCAGCGGCATGGCGGGATGTAACCTGCGATCTTTACACTGACTGGGTATGTGTCCAGGTCTACCTTGGCGGGCGGCATACTATTGTGCCTTTATGTCGGAAACTGCACGACAGTTAGATGCTCTCCTTACCTACATATTGGGCATTGGCATCTCCCTATAGCTACTGCACGGTCGATCATTGGCATTTACACAGCTTGGCGGCGTCACCTCTTCTGCTTTACATATGCCGTACGTACTGCACTGCGAAAAGTAGAACCAACTTTACCAGACTGTATGAGCGGTAATTGACTCCGACAGCCGGGGAATATATCCTATTAATCAATTCAGATTTACAGTTCCATTGCCTGGAAGACAAGCTTAGTATCTGCGCTCCATGAAAAACGAAACAGAAATCAGCACATTGATTGGCGATTAATCGGACACCATTAACAGTTTGAATTATTCCGACACCTCTCTACATGTATCTTTCCGGAATTTGGTTTATGTTGCTGCTTAGGAATCGTGTAGCTAATTGTAGGATCGACTCTATAGCCATCGATTGCCATTACAGGTTGGACCATAGCAAGCCAAACTAAACAGAACACCAAATAGAGAGCCTTTCAATTAAAGAAATTCCAGTGGTCAGGCATGGGCTAGGTACCGCTTTGGGGGGAAAACTAGGGTCACAGTTGTTACTCACTATGACCGTTCATATTTGGCCACGTATTTACTGACTTGGAATAGAATCTTTTTTACGTTGTACACTCCACATGGCCAGATCTAGATAAAGCCCAAATAGCTTCTAGACTGTGAAATTGAGAATATAAAATAAGGCAAGAGCTTTGAGTTCGTCTCGAATAGGCTTGTGGGAAAAATTACAAGATTTGTTGCTTTATTTTTATTTCGTTTTTTATCCTACCACTATTACCAAAGCCTCTGCTTCTGTTTTGATTCACATTTTAGGTTTTTTTTGGGATTAATTCCATGTGCTAATGGGGCGGTATGCGGGTAGTATAGATGGTTAATAAACTATATAACTTATCACCATCACTCGTAACCTGCATAGACAGCGAAGTCGAGTGACATATCATGATCAGTCACCTGCTTAGTTAATAAATTGGTTGGTATATTAATTCATTAATGATTAGATCAATCATCTGGGATAGCTGTTTCAAGGAACTGCGAGGTTTCTAGTTCTACAGGACCAAGTGCCATATTTTAACAAGTTGTCTTTTTTGTGGATAGGGAGTCAGCTAGCTGCGTAGCAATTCTGGGTGCCCGTTTTCTCCTCGGATATTCTGTTCGAAGGCTTCCTTTGATGAAATAGATGGGAGTGATCCCGGCGAAGTCAACGTTCCGCGAGTTCCTCAATTCCCTAAGGCGTTTCAAATAGTTTTACCCTATACTTAAGAGTTAGACTTTGACCCTCCAATCCCGTAACCGTGAATTGAAACTCGACTTAAAAAAGTTGGTATCGGTGTACATGTAATGTAGTAGAAATAATGGAATAAAGGTGCATAGAATCGCCAGGGACATTGTGAGGTAGATTATTAGATTAGGTATTAAAACACGTTGCAACTGTTACGTGGTTATAAGCAGTTGAGGATATGTGTTTGTTTTGAGACCTATATATAAGTTAAGCTGCGGTAACCCATTAATTACAATCATCATTCCTCTCATGCTCATCCTCCACCCATCCGAGCAATAGAGCAAAAGAGACAGAGAAATATTCTCGAGACCGATCCCTTCAGACTTGAAAACGTCTCAGTAACAGGACTGCCACGCGGGAAGACACTACGCTATATCTATAGAGGACGGGTCCGACAGACAGATAACGTGAAGGGAGATGCATGTGGGGCGGCGGGGTGGGTATGTGTAGGAGATTCATGGTGTGGGGCGTGCAGCTGTGGTGTGCGGTTGTACTGTCTGATTGGGTTGCATATAAAAAGCTCCATCACAAACACTCACTCGTCCCAGAATCCTCAACCACAGGTTCTCACTCGCACCCCCACCGCTCGCCCTCGCTGCCACCGCCCCACACCGCCAACCGCAACAACTGTCCGTGTCTGAAATATATCTGAAACAAGTTTATATTACCAACTTTTAAATCCAAATCCAAATCCAAACAAAAAAAAAGAACCAATCCGACCCATCCGGGTGTGTATCCTGCCAGCCAGCCCATACTCCAGCCCATATCCCTATATCCTATCTTACTATAATTTCTTCTTTTTCCCCTTCCCTTGTTTTCTCCTTCCTACTAACTAAACCAGTAACAAACAGAACAGATAGAACAGAAGTGACCAGATAGTGGACCAGCCACAGACACAGCACAAAACAACAAGACTCAAGGCCTGTTACCCACGACTCGAAAACTCGGATCGGGGCAGGCATACGTATATAACTAGCTGCCTAACTAGCTATCAAAGTGCTATAGGCACCATCACGGCACCTCGTGTCTGAATTCCTCCAAGGCCCAGGAAAACCAAGGAGCAAAAAAAAAAAAAACGAAAAACAAAGAAACCAGCCAGCCAGAGACAGAACAGAAACAGAATCAGATACCAAGATAAAAAATAAAAAATAAAGACAAACACCACTGCTTCCCGACAAAGGAAAGCAAAAAAAGAAAAAAAAAAGCGAGAAAAAAAACGAAAACCTAATAATACAAGCAGCAGCAGAAAACACCGAAAGCACTAACAAACCACTCCACCCTTATTAACACCTAAGAATATGGCTTAAAAGTCCATGTAGTCCAGTTCCCCAAAGTCCAAAGTCCGAGTTCAAGCCTAAACAAATCAATCAATCTAGCCGAAGCAGTCAAGCTAGTCCGGTCCAAAGGTCAGTAGTCATTACTCACTGCTCACCTCCTTCCCAAAGACCGGCAAAAAAGAAAAAAAAAAGCGAGAAAAAAGAATCCTAAAGAAAAAACCACAGCTAACAAAACCCTCCTATCACCCCACCACAGCCCTAACGCTCCTCGTCCCCACAAACCCCCTTCTGTTCCTCCCCGTGCGCCCTCGACTGAGCCAATTATGCTTCAGGGTCTTGGCTAGCTCATCGATCCTGTCCTGCGCCTCATCGCCCGTCAGCACACCCGAGAGCACCGATATACACTGCAGCATTCTGCCGGCATTATGTGTTACATCGCTCTGCGCCATCGATAGGTCGAGCGTTAGAGTGCTGAATAACACTGTTCATCACCTATCATTAGCAACACATCAAAATAGCGAATACCGGGAAGAAAGCCTACCTCGCAACCGCGAAAACAAAGGTAGGACCACAAAATCTCGAAAACCCATCAGCACCAACCTCCTCACGTCCCAGCCCCTCCCCACAATCTCCACCAGCTCACCCTCCTCTCTTAGCTCCCTCTGCAGCGGCAAAAAAACCGCCTCAAAATACGGCAACACGTTCCCAAACAGCGCGCTCCACACCTCAACCAGTCTCGGTATGCTGCGCTCGTCGCTGAGTCCGGGGTCCAGCAGGCCTGGATCCAGCAGCCGCATGCCAGAGTCAAGCAGGTCGCGCACGTCTTCTAGGATCTGCAGAGGCTGCCGTCGCTCGATGCACCGCCGGATGTGAAGTGTCACAAGCTTGTTGAGGTCCTCGACTGTGTTTGTGAGCGGCTCAGACTTGAACAGTGGGATGACGCGGGAACAGAGAATTGGCCAGGCCGTGTCGGCGGTGATGACGAGCGTGGGGTCAAAGTCGTCCCATGACGTTGCGGCAGCGGCAGCAGCGGCCGCAGCAGCGGCGGCAGACTTCTTCTTGGCGCTGGTGAGATCGATGCCGGATATGCTCTGTTTGAGCTCTGACTTGAAGGCGGCGGCCGAAGGGGACGAGGGTCCAAACGAGTAGAGGGAGCCGCCGTCGGCGGAGATGGCTTTGCTGTTTGAGCTGCTAGAGGAGAAGGTTATGCCGTTATGATGATGGTGGTCCTTATCGCGGCGGGGGCGCAGGAAGTGTGGTTTGTGCGAGTGGTGATCCTTTGGCGGCGGCGAGGAGCTATATGAGTTGTGGAGGAAGGGAGACGACTCGCCGGGCGCAGCCACAAGCGTGAGCGTTGAACCCGCCATACTCGAGAAGGAGGTCTTGCGGTCGCTGCCGCCGGAGACGGCGGCGGCGAGGGCGGCGGCGGAGGGCGTCATCCAGGGCATGGGCGAGGAGATGCTGGCGAGCTTGTTGGGCGAGGGTGGGGGCCTGTGGGTCTTGTCCATTGTTGGGGTGCCGATGCGCGCGGGCTTTGAGAAGAGCTTCTTCTTTGAGGACTCCTTCTTCTCCTTTCCCGCGGAGAGAGGCGTGGTGAGCGTGTATACGGGGGTTGGAGGTGTGGGCTGTGGCTGCGGCGGGTGTGGGATCGCGTGTGGTGTGGGCGGGGAGGAGGTGGAGAAGGGGGTGCTGGGGGTTGGTGTGGGCGTGGCCGCGAGGACGACGGTGCTGGTGATGGGCGGGGAGGCGGGCGACGGCGCGGTTGCTGAGCGCTTTCGCGAGGCGGAGGTAGTCGTGCCCGCCTGCATCGCGTAGGCAGAGGGAGCCGGGAGTGAGGGCTGCGAGGACTGCGTGCGAGTGAGCGTGGGCTCGAAGTAGCCTTGTGCGCCGGCGGACATGGGAGCTGCCTGGGTGGGTGTTGTGGGCGTGGGCGAGAGCAGCTTGATTGTGCTTGAGGGGATGGGCGTTGATGTCGATGTCGATGTGGATGTAGATGTGGATGTAGATGTAGATGTAGATGTAGATGCAGATGTAGATGCAGATGCAGATGCAGATGCTATGGTAGTGTTTAACGTCGTGGTTGTGGTGTTGAATGCCGTGGTGTCGCGAGCGGTGATGCACGAGGATGTTGAGGAGACGGAGGATGCTGAGGGCGACCGTCCATGGGATAGCTGGTGGGCCGGGCGGTGGGGCGACCGGATTGCTGGGCGACGGGAGGGCTGCATCTCGTAGGGGGATTGCGTTCTAGGGCACTTTTCCTCACTGGGGGCTGTTCTCTGCACCTAGCTGGGACTCTTTCTCAACGGGGCTTCTCTCCTCTCTCCAACTGGCCCGACTAACGAAATGTCAATGGGAAACAGGACCAGCTAGCGTCAGTGTGTACTAGTTTCGCTGCTGCTGCGGTGCTGCGGTGCTGCGGTGCTGCCGACCGGGGGCTGTTGCAGTACTGAGTGCGTGCAGGGACAGCCTTCGTAGTCAAGCTGTTATGTAGTTACTGTATCATATAGGGCCGTTGCAGGTACAATAGAGTGCAGACAGTCCTTTGTCGTCTAGTGAGTTGTGTGTGAAACGACGAAGACGACGACTGATGATGGCAGTACTGGCACTGCTTATATGACTATACGACACCCCTCACTATCGCTGCCTGTTTGCTTGTTTGCCCATCCACAGCGATGGCAGCGATGAGATCTTCTATCTATCTATGGCTCTGCAACCATCACCCAACCTATCCACATCCACACATCCACCATCCCGGGGCTGTGCAGCGCAAGTCAGATCCCACTGACGCCATCAAGAAAGAAGCACATGTGGGGGCCAAGCAACAGACAGCCGGGTAATAGAGTACTCTACCTACTGTAGCTACTAGTACAAAGACAAAAGAAAAGAGTAGCTCAGTAACCGTAGTAACCAGGGGTCCTCAACAAAACCAAAAATAGCCGTCGCGTCCGTCCCTGACAGCTGCGACATCTCCCCCCCCCCCCTTTGGCCTGCGTTAGCGTAGCCCACACTAAGACAATCGCATCTCCCCTTCATCTCCCTAAGATTGCACCCCTGTACAGATCAGATCAGGGGGGGTCCGAGCGCGTGATGCGAGTGCGAGTTGGTGTTAGTGGGAAGTACCTAATGGGAGGCCGGGTAATGGGTGGAAGGATTGGGGATGGGGATGGGGGGCGAGTGAGAGGGTGTGATTTAGAGATGGAGCCCGCGGTATTGCTTTTTTTTTCTTCTTCTTTTCTTTTTTATCTTTTTATCTTTTTTTTTCATTTTTTTTTTTTTTTTTTTAAATTTGGCGAATACGAGTTCGCCTTGGAACTGTCTATGAAACGAACTTCCACTTTTCGGCCGAGCAGAGGTTTACTTCACGTGCCTTTTTTTAGAGTAGATGCAGATATGGTATTTCTTAAGTGTTGACGCATTTCAACAGTAGACGACTACCTAGTTCGAATTCCCGAGCTACTCGGACACTCCCCCCCTCACTCGGCCGACTGTTATCCCGGCCCCGGCCTCTTAGAGTCGTGGAAGGAGTCACAATGATGAAAACCGATTGGTAGCTCAAAAGTGTGTATATTGACATTGACGATAACATTGAAGATAAGAAGGCCTCACGGCTATGATAGTGTGATGCCAAGGCTACTAGTACAAGTATTGCATAAGAAAGAAAACGTGGCGTGACACGGACAGTTAACGTAGAGTAGAAAAGAGAAGATCAACGTTGTATAAGTGGCTTCTGCACCGATCGTCATTGACACTGTCCGAGTGAGGGGGGTGTGTGATCCGGGTGGCCACTGCAGGGAAACCGTCTACGTAAAAAGGTGATCTTGAAACAGCTAGCACAACAAGACGCGAGCCCAGAACAATCCCTAAACTAACTCGATCTTGAACATAATATTTATTATCCACTGGTGCCGTTGAGATCGTGTTGGGCCCTTTCACGTCTTCGCTCATGCTGAGTGGAGAGGAATTATGCTTCCGCTTTGAGCTTGCAATTGGGATTATGCTTCCGCTTTGAGCTTGCAATTGGGGTTGAATTGTAGTAGTCTGGCCTTAACTAATCTTCTCGTGCGAAAACCGAGATTTCGTCCTGCAGGTCTAGTTCCTACGGGGATCATAGAGAATCAACGAGTGCCTAATTGCCAAGCTGCATGGATCGCATCCAACGTAGATGTTAACTTCCAAACAGAGACTACAGCTGGGGCTGTAGTCTCTGGACCTGATTTTCGGTCTCTACTTCCACTGCAGCGGCGCGCAGTATTTGCTCCGTTGTCGGAACCGGCGGGGCAAGGGAGGCCGAATTTGCGAAGAGTGATGACTTGCAAATTGATCTACATAGCTACCGCTATTCCAAGCAGCAGCAGCAGCAGCAGCAGTAGTAGTAATAGGAAAAACATAGTCTATGTGCGCGCACGTGCCCTCTCTCAGGTCGTTTTCGTAACGCGATACCCCATGTCTCCGTCTTCCCACCTAAAGACCTATCCCCTCAGCGGTCAGGCCCAATTAGTATCTGTTAGGTTAACTATATCTGGAAGCCGTGATATTAAGAACCATGGGAGTGAACAAATCCGCGCACTAGCTACTCCAATCTGATAAGATGTTGATAATGTATTAGTCTGAGGATGTCTCTGATTTGAGGAGTATCTTCTACCACACAGGGCTTCTCCGGCTGGCCTGGCGGATATCAATGGGGCTTGACCGCCGAGGGGGTAGAATTCAAAGTAGCCTTGATATGAACCAAGAACCCTGTAGACTTTCACGGAGTTGGAGGTGGTTGGGTGAACTACTAGATTTGTTCGTAATAATCGGTCCTGAAACACCTAGGCCTAACCTTGAACATTCTATAACGATAAATCGTATAAGGATACTATATTCTGGTCAAAACCGTATACTTATAGCGAGAGGCCGCTGAAGTACTAGTACTCCTTAGTACACCGGAAGATTCCTTATCAGGGATTCTATCGATAATGACTTGCCTTAAATTATAAAACTGGTGCCAAGAGCCTGTTTTTTTTTTTCATTTAATTTTTTTCAATCTCTTTTAGCGGAGGGGATAAACATAAAGCACGAGAGCAAGAATCAATAGCTCCGAGAAAAGGTTATAGTAATATAAGGAAGATCAAATATTCTTCCCCCATCGATATCCCATCCTAGAGCCCTAGAAAGATTTCTCAGCTAACTGAAATTTCGAAAGGTCAGTCTGTTAAGAACACTAACATATAAGCAGAGGAGCTCACCACTTTTCAGACCACCAATTGTGCAAGTAATTAAAGCTTCGGAGAGTAAAATTTAAAGTATTTATGTCGATTAGAAAGCCTGCAGGGGCTCGACGAAAAAACAGTGGCAATATAATATCATCTCCCACTAGTGTAGCAGCGGCGGAAACAGAGAAAGAGGATATTAGTACCTCAATGCAGTTTCGTTAGTAGATCTTTTGCATAGGCCGTGCGTAAAAGGAGAGGTAGGAGAGGGCTGTTATATAGACATTCTACAATTCCCAATCCCTATTCGCCCATCCATGCCAACGCTATTGCTCGTTGCCCATTGTCCAACTTTATAGAAAACTAATCCCCATTGAAAAAGCCCACGCAGGGCTCTCCTGACCATGCATGGGATTGTAACAATGAGGGTGTTGCATAGACAACACAATACATGTGCAAGTTCTATTCAGCGGTACTCAGGAAGTTTTGACGCCCTACAGGAATAGATAGTAAGTAAAAATCAATGGTAATCTCTATTCACCGCTCTATGTAGAATACACTTGCACATTGAAATGGCAAATTCCTGTGTTGGTTGCAATTGGTAAGTTCAGGTCCCATTACTATATCTCACCATAAAAGTGAGGTGTTCGTTGAAGGTGTGTTATTAGACCGGCCCTGTGTGATTTCCTATTGGGACCTGCTCGGGCCCTTCAAGAACGTAGACAATAGGGCTACTTGCCGGTCCGGATACCTGTGCGTGACTGGTTTACAAGAGTATGTGTGAGGCCATGTTTGAGAGCCAAGAGAGATATTTTAGCCATTAAAGTTGCCACGAACGAATAGAGATTTTGGTGCCTGCGTGTTACCAGATTGAATTGGACAATGAAACAAGGAAGGTGGCATTAGCTTTGTAAATGTTGGGCCCGAGTATTTGGAGGTGTCATCAGCTCGATGTATTGTAGCATACCTCAATAGTTTCGAACTCTGTATGGCCTACACAAATGATGAATCAGTTGATGTTATTTGATGTGATCGACACAGGCTAGTGATTGATTCATTCTGCTCTCTCCGATTGTAGAAAGCAGGTGTGAATGGGAGTTATGTGATGATATCAGGCCACCATGAAATTTAGTGCATAGTCGGTGGTCCACATAGAAAGGCGGGATAGAAGGACATCCCCATATATATGTAGCGTACCCGCACCCACCCCATAGAAAGTGTGCCTGACGCGGTTTGTCTGATTTCGCGGCTGGCTCATCCTCCATTCTACCCGTCCCTTTCTTGTTTGTTTACCTTTCTCATCCTTTATACTTCATCCCATCATCACCACCATCTCGCATCTCCATCACTTCCTTCCATCCTTCGCCCTCGAAAATCCCCCAACCTCCGTTAGTTTCACAACCTATCATCAAAATTCATGATGAATAAGGAACAAGTGAATCCCGATGGTCCCACAGAGCTTGTCCTTGTTTCACAGTTCCAAGGTGCTCCCGTCTATAGAGTAGTCGCAAAAACAAATTCCACCCCAGAATCTGCAGCCCCCATCCAAAACAATTCACAGAGACATCCTCAACAAAGGGAGGTGAGGATGCAAGACCCAATTGACGACTCAAATCGTGTCCCTTCCCCCCAACGCGAACCTGTTCCTGAAAGTCAAATCAGAACAGATGCGGACCGTGGTCCTGGAATGATTCCGGTTCCCATTCCATCTTTCCCGAATATCACACAAGGACAAGCTGTTCTTGGATACACCAATAGCCAATGGTCTTATCTATATGTAAATCTCACTCGTCTTTCATTTCTTATTTTTGAGTTTTTTCTAATATATACTTTCCAGATTCGGGCCCAAGAGCTCGTGAGGCCGTTTGCCGACAAATATGCGCAAACAGCCAATACACCAATTCATCTGCGTGCCGAGAACAATGCAGAGGTTCTGGGGCCGCTCGTGGAGGAGTTTCCTGATTTGCAGCGGTGTGAAAGCAACTGGGGTGCTAAGTGGGTTGTCAGAAAGGCAAGACACGCAGTCAGTGTCAAAGATGCTTCTGAAAGACGAAAGTCTCTCAAGCCTCTCAAGCCTAGTCTCGGAACTATGGCATCACCGGCAATCGTGGCTGAAGGCCAAAAAGCGGCGGAAAAAGAAGAAGAAGAAGAAGAAGAAGAAGAAGAAGGCGATTCTGAGGACGACGTTGAAGCTGCCAATGACAAGCGTCGCGATAGGGGCAGCGTCATCCACTCTCCAGTTGCCGAAGGAGCTCCGGTGCCAGATTGGCACAAGTACATGACGCCCAAGTACACCCAAGGGCGCGGGCCCAGCATATACGGGCTCACAAAACCAATAATCCCGTTCTTTGAGCCTACTGCTGGACCACCATCCATGCGTCATGCCTCCTCCGACCTTGGTAGTAGCCGCTCCCTGGCTACTAAGAGACGTGGTAAACGTCTTCCGCACCCCCCATCACCCACTCAGGCTAGCCCCACGGGCGAGCCAGTGATTGTCAACCCGGACCATCCAGTCATGAGCGGCCCCACCAAGCACTTGAGTGCAGTAAGCTCCGAACCATCTCCGGTCAGGCGAACAGTCGGCTTTACCATTCCTAAAGCTACCCGCCATATGTCAACCCCGGTTCTATCTATGTCCGAAGATAGTCCTAAGCAAGATGACTCGGACGATCCAATGCAGATGGACGAGAAGGAGGAGCAACAGGAAACAAGTAGTAGATACCATAAGGCTGTCCCTGAATCTCCACAAAGGATTCCAGCAGACCAGGAATCTGTCAAGCGCATAATGGATCATCAATATACCGATCAACCTGCATCAGAAACCTTCGTCCTACCACCTATTAGGGGACTTCTCCCAACCTCAAGCTTTGGGGTCGTCCAAGAAAGAGGCGACCAAGCGAGGATGTTGCCGTTCAGTAATGGCAGCAGAGCGGGACCTGGATTTGTCAATAGCTTTCCGAGGTTCGACCAATTGGCCGGCAGTGCAAGTGGTGAGAGAGGTGGAAAGATCAACATCGTCAATAGGGACCCAGGACCAGACATGAACCCTTTAAACCGTGATCCTTACGGCAACTTTGGGAGGGGCAACAACCATAATGGAGCCCCGAATTTCCAAAATGGAGGCCAAGGTGGTTTTAATGGAGCCCAGGGTGGTCCTAACGCAGGGCATTACCACCAGGAGAGCTTCTATCGCAACACTGGTACCTATGCTAACGGACTGCCTACTGATCCATACGGATTTGTTATGAATCAAGGCCAGTATTATGGCGGTACGGCTCCAAACGGGCCTTCTCCTTATGCAGCCGTTCCTCCTCACGGATCAGGAAACAATGTCTATGGCATCAACAATCCGAGCAACGGCATTAACGCTCCCCTCAACATTCAACCGCACCCTGGCTACAACCATATTGCCGGTAACAACAATCTCTACCACCAGCCCAGCTATGGTTGGAATGGACAAAACGCCCATGGAGCTGCTCCCAATGGCTCCAATGCGGTTGGAAATGAAGGCACCAGAACCGCCATGGACGGTGCTCCTCCCCATCCCGGTGGAGGTACTTCGAGGACTAGTCGTGGAAGGGGCAGCAGCAGATCTCGTGGACAGCTCCGTCATGCTTCCACCTGGAGCGGCAATCCTTACTAGTCCAACCAACCAACCACCGCCTCCCAAACTAGCGAATCAGCTAAATCTGAATCGCCCTTTATCGTCAAGAAGAAGAAAAAAAAATAATACCCTGTTCAAAATAGCACCCCTTTCCCTCCTATTTCTTTTCCTGTCTGTCAGGGTTTTCATGTATACTTATTTTTCGAGGGGGATTTGGGTTTTTAGAATGGTGTTATGTATACTTAGTAACGGTGTGGTTTTTTGTCTTGATTGTCGTGTTCCTGTTAACATGTGTTCGTGCTTTACCACTGGTAGTTTTTGTGAGGGATGAGGGGGATTAATAAAAATGGGTGATGATCGGAATAACTTGATGCTACTTCGTGATTGTGATGACCTTTGCCAACGTGGTGAGGAATGAGAACGTGAAGAGTCTGGATCGATTCCCAGGCCTAAATATCGAGTAGTGTTCTCTTGTAACGCCGATGAACTTAAGTAAACGTGATGATTCTTGAGAATGTGAAGAGCCTTAACCAATTCCAAGACCTAAACATCGTGTACTGTCCTCCTATAACGGTGATTCGATGCTGTAGGCCTTATAAAATGATGATTGGTAGAAAATTGATAAATTCGGAGCAGAAACCGATGAACCCAGAGCAGAAAAAAGACGCACAAAAGTAGGAAAGAAGAAGAAGAAGAAGAAGAAGAAGAAGAAGAAGAAGAAGAAGAAGAAGAAGAAGAAGAAGAAGAAGAAGAAGGGTAGTCACTCGGGATAAATAAATGCACTTGGCGGTCCTGCCAGGGGTTCCCCATGAAACATGTATTATGATGTCGCTAACGCCGGTCTACCCCCACTTTTCGCACCAGCTAGATTCGTACCCCACGGAGATCGGGAGGCTAAGGTTGAATGGTGGGCCAGTGAGCTGGGTACATGCATCTACATTGCTACGATATAGTAAGAAATGGACGCTACATGTATGTATGTACTATAAAGCGGCAGGTAGATAATACGTATGTGTGATAGATAGGATGCTCTGAGATACGCTTATACCTAGAAGCACTAACCTCTTCCCTTTGATTCGCTCAGGTTAGTTGAGGATTGTCAGGGTACAGATATGTTAGTCCTAATGACCATGCCCGATACTATATGAAGTATATAGTATTTCCTGCATCATCTCGGGCCGCTTTCTTGGTATTTAGTACAACTAGGATACACCCAACAACTTATCAGTGTACTTGCCCTTAGATTCTCTAACGCGGGATACATTCTTTGGATCAACTATTGGTAAAGTTGCCCAATTGTCACATGATCGGCCTTCAACAATTCAACAAATCTTTAGTGATGATCATGATAGCGCTGAACATAGAATGCTTTTCTCGCTGGTATTTACTAGCACTGGCTTCTACCATGTACATGTAAATTTAGTTAAGGCTTGACTTTAAGCCGCAGTCTATCCGACTTACTCTAAACTTAGCCTTCCCTTAGGCTGCCGGGCCTGATGTCAATCGTGCTACTCAACCGGATGTGGACGTTGTGATATAAAAACTATAGAACGCATAGCTCCTCACGATTGTGCACTAGAGTAGCTCGTCGTTAACGCGCGACAACCAATTTTCCGCAAGAAGCATCGCTACAAGCACCAAACCACCTATCTAACCCCCTTTTGCAGCCCCATGAAATCCACAACCTCTCGATATGTAAGCCCTCAATATCCGTCGCAACAACCGTGCCTGAAAGCCAATGATCGCCACAACCAGAAACACTTCGCCAAGACGCACACTAAGCAGAAAGCAGGTGCCCCCCTGTCAATCTGTGCTGCACGTCAAGCGCCTCCCGCAAAACTCTTCAGCGCACTTCGCAGCACTAACCAACCCGCGATGACACACACCCCAAACACCCCAAACACCCATTGAGCCAACCCGAGCAGCCAGCAGCAGCGCAGCAGGACGGACCATAAATTCCCTCCCATTCGCGCACCCTCAATTGCTCTCCTCTCGCTCGCTCCTCTCAATTCCCCACATCCAGCTCTACCACCACCGCAATGGCTCTCCAGATGGCTTCAAAGCGTCTCCTCCCTTCGCTCATGCGCCCTGCCCCGCTGCGTCAGCTCCGGCTCGCGTCCAGTCTCCCCAGCGCCGTCAGGGCCGAGATCCTCGTATGTTGTGCTCCAACCCAATTGCAATTGGTTGCTAGCTGGATCACTGACAATCGCAGCATGAGACCACCCACCCGACCCACGACCCCCCCGCGGACTCTGGGTCGGCGCGCCTGATTGCGGACCATGAGAAGTACATGGTCGCAACATACAGCAGGCCCACCACCATCTTTGCAAAGGCGGACGGCAGCCATCTGTGGGATCTTGAGAACCGCCGCTATGTTGACTTCACCGCCGGGATTGCCGTGAACGCACTCGGGCACAATGACGAGGTCTTCCTCAGCGTTATGGCTGAACAGGTACCTCGCCCCCCCCCCCCCCCCCCCCGCGGCATCCTCCTCCTTTCAAAACTAGCACCCACCCACAACTAACCCATCCACCAGGCCAGCCAAATCATCCACACCTCCAACCTCTACCACAACCTCTGGACCGGCGAGCTCTCCAAGCTCCTCGTCACCAAGACACACGAGCACTCCGCCTTCGCCACCGCCTCGCGCGTCTTCATCTGCAACTCCGGCTCCGAGGCCAACGAAGCCGCGCTAAAGTTCTCCCGCAAAGTCGGCAAGCAGCTCGGCGGCGACCGCAAGACGGGCCTCGTCTCGTTCCACAACTCCTTCCACGGCCGCACCATGGGCTCGCTCAGCGCAACGCCCAACCCAAAGTACCAGGCCCCCTTCTCCCCCATGGTGCCCGGCTTCAGGTACGGCACGTTCAACGACATCGCCGGTATCCCCGGCCTCGTTACTGAGGAGACGTGCGGTGTGATTGTGGAGCCCATCCAGGGCGAGGGCGGCGTCAACGTGGGCACCGCGGAGTTCCTGGTGGCGCTCGCCCGCCGCTGTCGTGAGGTGGGCGCCGTGCTCATCTATGACGAGATCCAGTGCGGGCTTGGGCGCACGGGCGACCTCTGGGCGCACCAGTTCCTGCCGAAGGAGGCGCACCCGGACATCCTCACGATGGCCAAGGCGCTCGGCAACGGGTTCCCGATCGGGGCGACGATGGTGAATGATTTCGTTGCCGACAAGATCATGATTGGTGACCACGGGACGACGTTTGGTGGCAACCCGCTGGCGTCTAGAATTGGGCACTATGTGTTTAGTAGGCTGAGCGACCCGAAGCTGCTGAAGGGGGTCGAGGAGAAGGGGCAGATCTTCAGGAAGAGGTTTGAGGCGCTGGTGGCCAAGTATCCGGATGTGGTGAAGGAGGTGAGGGGGCGGGGGTTGATCTTGGGGTTGCAGCTGAGCAGGGACCCGAAGGAGTTGATTAGGGAGTGCAGGGAGAGGGGGCTGCTGGTCATTACGTGCGGGACGAATACGGTCCGCTTTGTGCCGCCGCTTGTGATTGAGGAGGAGGTGATTGAAGAGGGGCTGGCCATCTTTGAGAAGGCCATGGAGGCCTGGGTCGCTACGGAGTAGGTCAACTAGATTAGTTAGATAGACTAAAACAGGGGCGGGAGGCGGGGGAGTTTGGGAGGGTCTTTTGTCTGCAGTAGAATTCAGGAGCGAATAAAATAAAATTACTATTTTGCTATCAACTTCAGTGACTTCATAAACCCAAACGGTACACTTGTGCAAATTCCCGTCAAACCAATCATTTCCCTACCATCCACCCATTTTTCCTACCCACCGATCATTTCTCCCCGCATCACACATTATCACTCGGTAACGCCACACCACACCAGCGCCACACCATGACCCCCCCAAAAAAAAAAAGATTCCCTACCATCCAAGCTGCCCCACTACGAACCCAACCCAACCCACCAACCCCACCACCCTACCCACCCACACACCCACACACCCACACACCGCACCATGTCCGCGCCCACAACCACAACCACCTCGCCCGACCCCAGCCCCGACCCCGCCATGAGCGTCTTCCTCCCGCCCGTCAACCGCGCAATGCGCACGCTCGACCGCTCCTTCTTTGCAAAAACGATCCCGCTCGCGGCAGCCCACATCTTCGACGCCAAACACATCACGCGCTTCCAGAAGGAGTGCGCGAAGGACGTGCTGCGCCTGCCGAGGACAAAGACGATCATCACAGAGGCGGACCCGGCGGCGCCTGGCGGGGTGAGGAAGCTGCTGCTGTTGAGGCCGGAGGTGAGGGTGGATGGTAGGTAAGGCGGTTGTTTGTCGCCCGGTGTGGGCTGTGGGCTGTGGGTTGTGGGTTGTGGGTTGTGGGTTGTGGTGCTGGTGCTGGTGCTGATGAGTTGTGTGGTGTGGTAGATTTGTCCACGGCCGGTGAGAAGACGCGGGAGTATGTGGAGAGCAAGCGCATCGAGCTGCTGCCGTACACGCTGCAGATGAACTACGGCGACTGGAGCTACCGTGCCTCCCCTTCCCCTTCCACCTCCGCCCGCGCAGTAGCTAACACCCACACCACACAGACGAAATCATGTCCGCCATCCTCCCCGACACGCTCATGTCCGAAGTGCCCCAATCCTTCGCGCAAGCCGGCCACCTCGCCCACCTCAACCTCCGCGCCCACTACGCGCCCTACAAGCACCTAATCGCCACCGTCATCCTCGACAAGAACCCACGCATCAAGACCGTCATCAACAAGCTCGAAGACGTCGGCACCGAGTCCGAGTTCCGCACCTTCCCCATGGAGCTCCTCGCCGGCACCCCCAACACAACCGTCGAGGTCAGCGAGAGCGGCTGCGTCTTCCGCTTCGACTTTGCAAAGGTCTACTGGAACACCCGCCTCGGCGACGAGCACGAGCGCGTGTGGCGCCAGTTCAACCCCGGCGAGGCCGTCTGCGACGTCATGGCCGGCGTCGGCCCGTTCGCGATCCCCGCCGGAAAGCGCGGCGTGGTCGTCTGGGCGAGTGATCTGAACCCCGAGAGCTACCGCAGCATGGTCGAGAACATCGCGCGCAACAAGGCCGACGCCTTCGTGACGCCGTTCTGCAGGGACGGCCGCGAGTTCATCAGGAACTCGGCGAGGGAGCTGTATGAGCGCTCGCAGAACGCCGAGACGAACACGATCGTGATCCCGCCGCCGGCGCCGAGGTCGCGGTCGAAAGCGCCCGTGGGACCCCCGCAGGAGCCGAAGGTTGTGGCTGTGCCGCCGGCGTTTGCGCACTATGTGATGAATCTGCCGGCGACGGCGATCGAGTTTTTGGATGCGTTCCGCGGCGCGTATAGGGGGCTGGAGGGGCTGTTTTCGGAGGAGGGGGGCAGGCAGATGCCGATGGTGCATGTGTACTGCTTTAATAAGAGTACGGAGCAGGAGAGGGCGCCGGTGGATATATGTAAGCGGCTGAGTGAGGCGATGGGGTTTGAGATGAGGCCTGAGAGTGGCGAGGTGAGGCTCGAGCATGTGAGGGTTGTGAGCCCGAATAAGGTGTATTATTGTGTGAGCTTTAGACTGCCGAGGGAGGTGGCGTTTGCGGAGGTTTAGATGGTGGGGGTGTTCTTGCGTTTTTGTAGATAGTAATCATCTCCGAGTTTGGGTGTTTTTGACGTGCTGAGATTTGGTGGAGTAGTCTTGCCGGTTTCATACTTGAGGTGAAAAAAAGCAATTGCTGTTCTGGTTCTGGTTCTGGATAGACCTGAGACGAGACTGCGTACGTACCATTATCAGTGTAGTAACGAATAACCCGCACCTAGAAATCTCACTCCAAGAACTCAGCCCTGGGAAACTCCAGAATCGTTGCCAAAGAGATTGTATATATTTCACCTCAAGCTTTATGGCAGCTACATACCCTAATTAACGCTAGAACACTGAAAGCTCTACCGCCAAATCAACACACTCTTCCATGGCAAGAATATACATAGCTATAACCCAAGACCCGACACCTCATGAATCACATCCCAGCTATCATCAACTCCAAAGCTCCGCTTCAGTCCACCTGTTCTGAGCGCTACGCCGGCCGTGACCAGGATTACTAAAATATTAATATCCCGGTTTAGGAATGGCCTTGGCAAGGTAACTTGGCGTGGCCTTGGCATGATGCATGCTTGTGTGGTTTGACATCCCCTTCAGCTAATTGATCCCGGGAAGCAAACATTGAGGAGCCTCATCTTTAACTCGTCTCTATAGTATGGCTGTAAGGGCCAATGAGATACTGCGCTGAACTATCCTCGTGTAGTTCTCTGGGGCTAACGACATGCCAGCTCACGCACCTACCGGAGAAGCGTTGCCCAATTCATGGGAGAGGTACTGACGGTATAAAGAGAGCACAACATGTGTGCTTGAAAGTGAAGTGAAAAACGGCCCTGGGTGTTGACTACAACGCTTTTATTCCTACTTTTTGGGCCGTTTGTGGGTGTGGGGAGCTGGATGGGCAGGACTCTCTTTGCCCGCTTGGCGTAAGTTGGTGCAGGCATTGAGTAGGTTGGGGAATGTCTGCTGATTTACTTGGAATTGGGTATATATGCTGATTGAGATCGTGCCAGATACCGCTTTTGTAGGTGGTTACACGTGCGACCACGGTGGTATTCGTTGTCCCGATAAAAGTGTTTATAGCGGTCTTATATTCTTTAGCATGTGCAGAGCAAGCAACGGCGACTCGAATATGCCCCAGAGCTGCATTTTTCGGACCCGTGGGCGGTGTGATAGGAATGATTAGACCACGCTCGCCCATACAATTGTCAGAGGCCGAGAAGTAATACTTAAGGGAGCGAGGGCAAATGAGTGAGCTAGGGCGGCACCTAATCCTGCAATCACAATCTACCACGACGTATATCATGACCCACTGGCCACCCTCTTGTAAAATATATTAGTACTTTATACTACATAATAATAGAGAACATCGTATTTCTAATCGAAATAACCAAAACAGATAATAAATATACCACAAAAGTACACACAGAGATCTTAGAGCATACAGCTCCTTCCTTATAAATACCTCCTTTTGATCCCAGACGTGTCATAGGCCTCTCCCCAAATCCCATGCTCATATCATGGCCACTCGGTAAAAATAATCACAGCAGACCCCTCAAGAAATCAATTTCATCTCCCCAAACCCAACTTCCCTCAACTTCTGATTCACAAAGGCCACCGCCTTCTGAAAGGTTTTCTTCCCGCCCTTACAAGCCCCACTCTCCAAATGCTGGGTCATCCCACTCAACGTTGTAAACGACTTGATAACCCCCTTACCTCCCACAGCAAGTGTTAGCGGGCAATGGTAACTCAGCGGGGCATGTGCCGCCGAGTTCATGTGCTGCCACAACGCGTGGGCGGTATCAAATGTTCGAGTACTGCCCGCAGGACACATAGGGCATTTCCGTTCTCCCCCGGTAAGAACAAGGGCCTCCATATCAATAATAAGCCCATAAACGAAATCTGGCGTAAAGACGCCTCCAGGGGAGTGGAGAACAACTGCCATGCTACCTCCTTGCGTGCTCGAGGTAGGTGGGTAAACGTGCACGCCGCTCACACCGGCACCAGAACTCGATGAAGATATCTCACTTCCGCAATCACCCTCACTATCACTGCTATCATCATCGTGGTCGTCACTGTGTATCCGCCCCTCAAGTCCGGCCTGAGAAGTAATGATGCTCCCTGTGTCCTTCTCTTTGATGAGCTGATCGAGCTTCCGTCTGTTGATCCCAGACTTACACGTCCCGCTCTCGAGATGATGCAGCATTCCAGACGGCGACGTGAATATCTTCGCGCACTCACTGCCCGTAATGCATTTCAGCTCCTCGATCAACGGGTTATGCTTTAACGAACTCATATGCTGCTCCAGCGCATTCTCATTCTTGAAGGTGCGGTTGCACGGCCTACAGAAGAAGCCAAACAGTGCTGTCGGCCTTTTGGCATGGACTTTATCACGAAGATGCTGGTCCAGCGACGATTCAGAAGGGAAGTCTCTGTCGCAGTTACAACAGTGAAACTGAGTTGCATCTGGGACTGCTTTTGTGGTAAGGGGCCGGACCTGCCCGTAATAGTCGATTGTGTAGCGGTTGCGGTTTTTGGGTATGTGGTAGGCATTTAGGTGACTCTCTAGAGCGCTCTCGTAGATAAAAAGTCGAGAGCAGGGTTTGCAGTAAGGCCACGGTGAGTGGTTGATAGAGAGTTGGCTGTGGTATTTAAGGGCCTGATTGGTGTTAAAGCTGGGTCTTTTGGGGCAGATGTAGCATTTGAATATCGACATGATCTTTTTTTGCGAGTGGAGAAGGTCTCTCACTCGGTAGATATATGATCTAGAGGCTGGCGGCTGTTTCTGCTACACCACTAGTAGATATCAGAGGTTTGATTAGATCGGCGTATAGGATTCGGTTCTGAGCTGGAGTTATAGTACGAAAGCCTTTCCTCGCATCTTATATGAAGGGCCTGTCGCCCTCCAGATTACTAGATCTGCCTAGACTCAAAGTGCCAGCTGTGGGCTGATGTTACGATACAAACAAACAAATCTTGTACCGGGTAGATGCGTTCCGCCCTGTAGGTTGATATTGGATGCCTAAATACATAATTACCACCCGGATTAGGGTGTACGCCAAGGCGGGGTCTGTACGCCAAGGCGGGGTCTGTACGCCAAGGCGGGGTCTTATCAGCCACCAGTAGTAATGATATTGCGGAAAGGATGAGTTCTGTCCAGTGTTTGTAATAACAGGGGGTCCTAATAATTCATCTTGGGGGGTCATAACAACTTTGATGGGACTGGGTCTCTAGCCTCCTTCCCAGACACATTCGGTGGTAGTTGAGCCCAACTGGTGTTGACAACAATAAAAATAGGGGATGGAAACGAGACTACATGTAACTTCTCTCAGGTTTCTCATAGTTTACGACCATTGGGTCTTCGACCTGGTCATAGCACGTGCATGTTAAGTCCCTGATATTTATATCTAGCAAATGTCACGAATCTTATAGTGCGTACGAGTATATACATGTATCCAAAGGATACGTATGTAGATAACCCTGGTAAATCGGGGGTCCTAAACAGTCTTGGTCGTTCCGGGCGGCCCGCAGTTTTCTAAAAAGCTATACCTGTGCATGTGCATGCGCAATCGAACAGGACACAGCTTGCGTTCCATAAAGTTCTTGGAGTATAGGTACTTTTGAAGCTCCTCGCTTCTCAAGAATTCTATTTATTATCCCGCTCCAACATTCATCCTTTCCAAGACTTGTCTTACTCCAAGATTTTCATCGTCAAGTCCCTTCATCTTAAGCACCATGTTGAGATAAGGACCATCTTTTCATCTTTAAAAGATGCAGAAAACCTTCTTTTTATCGAGCATCAATTGATCTCGATCCTTTGGCCTTTCTGGGAGTAGTTGGGTCAACCATTTCGATCCTGATGAGACATCAGAGCTCAAAGAGCTCAAATATAAACCGGATGTCTCTTATCTTTCTGGAAGTAGTTGGGCAAACCATCTCCTGATCAAACATCAGAGCTCGAAGAGCTTCAAGATAACTAGAGGTAATTCTGATCGATTCTTAATATAATCCCCGTTGTCTGGCAGGCTTGTACATGCATTACATCTTATTTATCAAAGACCATGCAGTCTTTGAGTCAATCTTTCATCTCACAGTGAAAACGATATAGCTAATCCAAGAATTGGTCATTTTAGCAATCTGTAGAATTAACTATCGCTGTTGGTCCAGTCCGTGGTGACGGTCACTCCATACCAAAAGGGTCAGACGCCTTTCTGGAGAAGTGCCAAAAGGAAGTGAATCCTTCCGGGAAGTGCCAAAAGGAAGTAAATCCTTCCGGGGAAGTGTCAAAAGAAAATGAATCCTTCCGGGGAAGTGCCAAAAGGAGGTTAATCCTTCTGGGGAAGTGCCAGAAGGAATTAAGTCTTGCTCTGTGATTGAACTAGAAGAGGTTCAGGTGCTGCTAGAATATTTCATCTCTGTTTAGAGATTTGGCCATACAAAAGGCAGTGAGTGAGATAGTAAGTTTTGAAACCATAAAGACTTGAATAAAGTTTGTTAACAGAAACGTGGCTCGGTGGTTAGCAATGACCGTCTCATCTTGCTCTGCAGTTTCGTTTTCCTAAGCCGTCCGCTATTAGTTTCCTAAGCAACAATATAGTCCTGGGTTCAAATCTCCTTGTATTGGGCACCGTTATTTCCCCTAGTCTGTTTGAGGTATCCGGAAATTGAGATCCTAAGATACAGGATATAGGCCAAAGTTACGCTCACGAGGCATATATTGTTGAGTTCGATGGACAGGCTTTATAGTTTTCTAGACCACAGCCAGTTAGCCAGCCTATTCACCCAATAAAGTCACTCCTGACTATCAACAGTAAGTTAACCATTGTCAATCTTGCTCTATTCTGCACATCAATAACTGACATCTGCAAGCCTGCAGTGAAGAGACCAGAATTCTTTCCAGAACTCAGCGAGGTACAAACAGCCACTCTTTAGACTTTCAAAAGATCTGGTTGCTCTCTCAAGTGATGGTTTGAGGGGTCGATTATGATAATATCGATGCACTAGAGCAGTCTCCCGAAGATATGACACCCACGCCAAGAGTACGGCCACCACACCAGGACGACCGGGCCCTAGTACGAAGAAGAAAAGAAACATGGACGAACCCATCGAGAAACGGACCTACAAGCTCTACGGTGGAGTGCTATCGCACTCCACTTCATTGAAACGGCATTATGCTCAACATCTATCGAGCCCGCAGTACCTAACTCCTGCACAAATCTCGCTCGCAGAACAAAGCTGCACTGGAAAACCTCTATCCCGCTGCCAGCATTGCCCAATGTTGTCTAATAGGCTAGCCACAATCCTGGTCCACGAAAGATTAAACAAAGAGGGCAGCAACGTCACCAAGTGACCTGTTTGAGGAGTTGGGGGGATATTGAAGTCAAGGATATATCCTGTGGGGGGATATTGAAGTCAAGGATATATCCTGTGGGTGGAAGTAAAGCTCAACAAGGTGCAACCAGTCTTTGGACTTCCAAAAGATCTGGTTGCCCTCTCGCGTGGTTTAAGAGGGTATTGAAGTCAAGGATGATTCTGTTGGTGGCAGAAACACTCCACAAGATACAGCCACTCGGTCTTTGGACATTCAAAAGATCTTGTTGCCCTCCCAAGTACTTTTGAAGGGGGTATTGAAGTCAAGGATGATCCTGTGGGTGGCCGCAGTGCTCGACAAGGTACAGCCGCCCGGTCTTTGGACGTTCAAAAGATCTGGTTGCCCTTCCAAGTGCTTTCGAAATGGGGCATTGAAGTCAAGGATTATCCTGTGGGTGGACGCAATGATCGACAAGGTACAGCCACCTGGTCTTTGGATTTCCAAAAGATCTGGCTACTCTCCCAGGTTGTTTGAGAGGAGGGTAATGAAGGTAATATATTTCTTTTCTTAATTATCAACTTTATGTCGATATCGTATGTGGGTGGAACCAGAATTTCTGAGAAGACCATGGAGCTGACATATCCATTTGACTAGGATACTGTATTGATCAGGGTCGCTGTTCATCAAGGCCTGCCCATAATCTAGAACACCCAGGAAAATGGCATCTTCGTCCCAATATGCCGGACCACTGAAGATCCCCCTCTATGCCTATCGAGGCCTTGGTCAGAAGACAGCATTATCTCACACATATGAAGGAATCCTTCGACGGGCCCTTGATCCCCAGGAAAGATACCGAAGGAGTCATCTCTTTATCCATAACATTAGGTTCCATGATAAAACGCTCACCAGAAGGACTGCATGATCTAGCATCACTACACATTGAGCGAATTGCAATTGGCGAAGCTCCTGTGGATTGTGGAGCTCCTTCAGCAGACCCTATTCGGTGATCTCGGAGGATTCCTCCTTATCGTCGGGAGTGTACACATGCCTTCGTACGAACATGGCCAAAATAACACGATTAAACACCGCTGCATATGGAGCTAGCTGCAATTGGCGAAGCCACTGTGGATTCGTCAGTCCCTCCAGTGTTCCTCATTCATTACTCCGCAAATACCTCCTTATATTCAGGAGAGTATAGTTGGCGAAGCTACTGTGGATTCTGCAGTTCCTCTAGCAAATCGTATCTAACTCTCGCCGAATACCTTCTTATCCTTTGAGAGGATGCAATTGGCGAAGCTACTGTGGATTCTGTGGTTCCTCCAGCAGATCATATCTAACGCTTGCCAAATCCCTTCGGATCTTTTTAGGTGAAGGGGGACTGCAATTGGCGAAGCTCCTGTGGATTTTGGAGCGGGAAGGGAAAGAAATATTGTTTCTGTGGGTGCGGCAGCTGTAGAAACGATATTGGGCCTGTCTCTTTTAGTATGGATTTGTATACTATTCTTGCAATATATTATAATATAATAATGTTAATATCAATATCAGTATCGAATGCTTTCTCATCTCTCAGCTTTCTGTAAGGCTCAGTCATAGGTATGGTTATTTGTCCTACATCGACAAGAAAGGTGATGCTTTGTGAGTTTGAGTAGTGTGAGGGGCCCAGTGCTCATAGTTTTGAGGCCTACTTGACTGGTTAGTGATAATTTCAAATTCCTCTCTCGGTCTGAGGGTACACAGATCACTAAAGCTTATAAACTCGCTGCTAATTCTGTAAACCCCATGGTCAGTAAGAAAATAAATCCCCAACGTGACACCACCGCTAACAGGAACACCCAAAACCCGAAAGTCCCTATCAGAGAGAGCGACAAGTCGCTTTGTAAGTGTTTGTCTTCGACAGATAATCTCTCCTTGAAAAAAATATAAAAATCTAGCAAAAGCTGTGTGACGAACCTGGGTAAATGACAAGTAGGAGTTCTTATACATCATTTCTGCTGAAGTGAACTATTATAGTAAAGAGGCGTAGGAGGAAGAGAAGATATAGAGAGAGAGATAGGATGAAAAAGAAGGAACAAAAGCGGGCACAGGTCAATGAAGGAGAAAAAAGGATGGAAATGAAGGACTTTCTCACAGTAACTAAAAACCAGGAGCTTCGGAAGGATTTCAATGGATGCTGAAAACACTTGTTGATGTTGAAGCTCCTGGAAGCGTATATTTGCTGATGGAAGTCGTTAAATGGGGTGTGTTAATTGATGGATTGGTTTTGTACATCTGGTTGCATGGGAAGAAGACGGGAGGGAGAAGATGGTGTGCTGGTTCATCTGTGTCTCGAAAAAAAACCAGACTTACGTATATGCAGTCTAAACGTAATCCTGATAACAGGAAGAGCCGTACAGTACCCCCACACACACTGCTGCAAATTAGGCGATACCCTACCAGCATTGAATACAGTCAGATTAATTAAGTAACAACATCAACCACCGAAGCATGCCCTATTTCTGAGCATGTGGTTAAAGTGGATTCAAATCGAGATTGTGTGAGCATTATTGTAGCAAGACACTTCCTGAGAGACGATCTTGTATCAAGTAGTACGTCTCTGCAGAGGAAAGGGTCTCCGACTTGGTTTGGGTTGTTGGATTCGTCCAGATATCGACATTAAACACTCTCGAGTTTATGTAGCTTACAAGATGAAGAAAAAATCATATATGCTAGTTCAGGTAAATGAGTGGCTCGAGACCTGATCTAGTTTTGTCTCGTCCTGTCTTGCCAGGCTTCAGGTCTTGTCTTAAGTATTTTGCGAGAGGTCTCAAATCTATTATATCCCATTCGTCACCCGCCACCACATCGGCACGTCTGAATTATCGGAAAATATTAATACATCCTAGTCAGAGAATCGGGTCGATGTGGTATCTGTTTGTGAGGGGCTGACTCGGTTTCTCGCTAGGCCTTAATCCTGGGGCCGGTCTTTATTCCTTTTCGAGTAGCCCGAACAAACTTTGAACCACCAGCTGAACCAGCTCGAACCACGTTTCATTCCGGCATAGTGCCTAATCACCGCCGTTTCGTTGGAAAGTACTATCAATACTTCCAGCATCCGTCAGGCAGCTAGGTGTTGGGGCAACCGGGGTAAAAATATTTTTCGTTGCTGGTATCTCTCGTTAGCCCCCTAGCAACTAATCGAGTGATACCCTATGATTACATACTCCATGTATGTGCTCTTCTACGTTTCACCCAAATGTTCCACGGCACGCAGTCCCCCCAAACTCCCTGAAGGATTACGACTAGACGTATGAGGCTTACTGTAGATACAAAAGAAGAAGAAATACTGAGGGACAAAAGACTTATGTGATTAGTATCATCCCTCAAGAGCGTCGCTACCATGTTGGGCATTCTAATCAGTGCTTCCACCCCGGGTTGAACCGGTGGTGTCATGCAACGTAGCTGAGGCTATTACCCCTCGACCACGCCACGATGCTGTCAATAGAACTCGGGTCATATATAAGCCGCTGGATAGCTCTATGCTACACACATAGCCACCCGGACGGATGCAGCTAGTCTGGTTCCGGAACTTTTTATACCTGGTCCTTTATGAAGAAACGGGGATGGGAAACAGGGGGCGGGCGCGCGCGCAAGTACTTTGACGATAGAAAGCCTAGCCCTCACGCCAAGATGTCGTCCTCGCCCACCTCGCCGTCCCCTCCCAGAGCTAGAGGACCACTTGGCGGATACAAGAGTTCCAGAAGGTACAATACAGTTCAGAGTTTTATCCACCAGCACCTGGCTATCGGCACTCAGACTAGATGTAGATGAAGTTACTTTATCTACATCTAGTGATGGCCGTAAGACAAGCTATCCCGAGACCTTCTATCTGGCGGGGAAGGCCCTGAAAGCGACAGTGCATGCATTGCAAGACAGAACCAGGCCTCAAAGTCTCGAGAGTTTGTCAAGGCTGGTACGTAGTCCACTGTCTCGATATTTTCAAAACTCGGTTCAACAGTTGGGAGACGGGACGAGACTTTCCCAACGGCTCTTCTTGTCGCGTACCCATCATGCGTTGGAGGGCCATGTGCTTAGCGGTGTTGGAGAGGGCCATTACAACACGTGGTGAGAAGGGAAGCAGAAGGCAGATATAGGAACACCTGGCTGCAGGTGGTGGGGAACGAGGGATGAGAGCTGATTTAGGCGTCTTTTTAGTTCTCGGCCCATATACTGGTTGGGATACATGTACGCCGGTTTGCTGAAAGTCCGAAGTACAAGTAGGCGGGGCATGTATTGCCGGGTGACAAAGGTTCTCGCGATTTTCGCATAGCAACCAACAGAAATTGCCCCAAAGACTAATACACAAAGCCAGTAATCAGGATTCAGACCTAAGAGGTATTAACTATCAATCTTCAGCTCTCTTATCACATAGCTATCTTCTTTATATCCTTTGTGGCCGTCGAGTTATAGTCGCTTCATGACCCACCCTCGTACGAAATCGTCAACAATAGATGCGGGTTGGCAATTAATCTTTGGGTTTAGGACAAAGCCGGACGTTGGAAGAGTTTGTGATTTAGTTTTGAATGACTCCCTAGAGGGAGGGTCGACTGTGGCCGTGGGTTTAAACCCTGTATTCCGGCCCTTCTTCATCCACGGAATTCCCAAACTCCCGACTGAAAAATAAGGGACAGTAATTAGCTGACTTGGCGCTGTACCTTAGTTACGGTTCAAAATCCACTTTGCGACTGCTGACGTCTCTAAATCCTGAGCTCAGTGAAATCTACAGCTTACAGTGCGTCGGAGGGACGGTCGAATTGCGAGAGAGAACAGGGTAGAAAGAAGAAGATCAAGAAGAAGAAAAAACTGTGGGCCACACACGTAGTTACGCATCAGCATACTCTACACTTTTCATTCTCCTAGATCTGACAACCACCAACACATCTAGATGTCCTTCTTTGCCCAACACCTAGTGTACCGCCCACCACCTCCAAATACCAGCACACCCAAACCACCCGAACCCAAACACACCTTTTCCCTTCCCCTTTCCCGGTGAATGGAGCCGAGTGCAATACACCCGCCCGGGGAGGCACGAACTCGACTCCTCACTACTTATAAGTCTCAGCCTCACAGGACATTTATCCCCTTCCAGGGTACCCGAAGAAACCTAGAACCAGACTACACCATCACTGCCGTTTAGTTGAACAAGACCGCTAGCGCACAATACTTCCGGTGCTCGCGCTGTGGCAGTCTCAGGCAGCGGACTGGCGAGGTGTTAGGGCTCGGAGGTAAAGAAGTATTTTTGTTGGAAGAGAGCTCTTAATTCTAATGTGTAGTTCTTGGATCCTAGTACGCCCACTGACTGTTGGGGTTCTTGTATCAATCGTTAGTTCCTTGGCAGCAGAGCGAGTGATATCTTATGACCGTATATACTATGTGCACTTCAAGGTTTTCGCCAAAATGAATGTACTGCGCGTCATGTACTTGTAGTCCGCGCCGCCAAAATTATCTACCATCACTGTTATACATGTGGTTTGATGTAAGGTAGCACAAAAAAGAAGAAACACTGAGCGACAAAAGACTTACATGATTAGTATCATCCCTCAAGAGCGTCGCTACCATATTGGGCATTCTAACCAGTGCTTCCACCCCGGGTTGAACCGGTGGTGTCATGCAACGTAGCTGAGGCTATTACCCCTCAACCACGCCACGATGCTGTCAATAGAACTCGGGTCATATATAAGCCGCTGGATAGCTCTGTGCTGCACACATAGCCACCCGGACGGATGCAGCTAGTCTGGTTCCGGAACTTTTTATACCTGGTCCTTTATGAAGAAACGGGGACGGGAAACAGGGGGCGGGTACGCAAGTACTTTGACGATAGAAAGCCTAACCCTCACGCCAAGATGTCGTCCTCGCCCACCTCACCGTCCCCTCCCAGAGCTAGAGGACCACTTGGTGGATACAAAAGTTCCGGAAGTTACAATACAGTCCAGGAGTTTTATCACGTGTACCGCCACCACCACCTCCAAATACCAGCGCACCCAAACCACCCGAACCCAAACACACCCTTCCACTTTCCCTTTCCCGCTGAATGGAGTCGAGTGCTACACACTCGGGGAGGCACGAACTCGACTCCTCACTATGTAGGTCTCAGCCTCACGGGACATTTATCCCCTTTCCAGGAGGGCACCCGAAGAAATCTGCACAGAACCACTACACCATCACTGCCGTTTAGTTGATCAACAAGATTGCTAGCGATACTTCCGGTGCTCGCGCTGTAGCAGTGTCAGGCAGCGGACTGGCGAGGTGTTTGGCTCCGAGGTAAAGAAGTATTTTTCATTGTAAGAGAGATCGAGCTCTTAATTCTAGTGTGTCCTACACCCACTGTCTGTTGAGGTTCTTGTATCTGTCGTTAGTTCCTTGGCAGCAGAGCGAGTGATATCTTATGACTGTATACTCTGTGCTCTTTAAAGTTTTCGCCGGGATGAATATACTGCGCGTCATGTACCCGTAGTCCGCGCCGCCAAAATTATCTACCATCACTATAATACATGTGGTTTGACGTAAAGTAGCACAAAAAAGAAAAAAATACTGAGCGACAAAAGACTTACGTGATTAGTATCATCCCTCAAGAGCGTCGCTACCATGTTGGGCTTTCTAACCAGTGCTTCCACCCCGGGTTGAACCGGTGGTGTCATGCAACGTAGTAGAGGCTATTACCCCTCGACCACGCCACGATGCTGTGAAAGTGGCTCGGGTCACATTTAAGCCGCTGGACTATTATTAGACACAAACGAGCTGTCTCAGCTTGTGGCATGAAGGCTCGTAAGAAGGAGAGTTCACTCCCAACACCACGCTGCACGACTGGGTGTTGCACACAGAGACATCCGAACGGGTACAGCTGGTACCGTTCACAGATTCCATCTGCTAGTATCTGGCTATCGGTAATTACATACACTAGATGTCCATGAATTCATCTAGTGATGGGCACGAGACAAGTTCAGTGTGGTCCACGAGAACGCTCGAGGCGAGGTTTGGGCGTGTCCTCGGGGTGCCTCGTCCTCGCTGACCTGAGTCTGTCCTTGTCTGTCCTCGAAGTCCGGCACTGTTGTCCTCGAGGACGATAAAAAAAAAGACGACCCGGTAAACCAAAAAAGTGATATTTCTCAAAATAAAAGGCATATTTTATTCATAACCTCATCCGACTAGGGCATATTAACTGTTCATTATAGCCAAGAATTGTCCTTGGAAGTCCTCGAGGCAAGGACAGATAGTGTCCTCGAGGTTCCTTGTCCTCTTGGACCACTGTCCTTGCGTGTCATCGATGACATGTCCTCGAGGCAAGGACACAAGGACGCTCGTCCTCGTGGACCACGCTACAGTGACGGAAATGTGGGTGGGGTTACTACATACCGTAGTTTTTGGCAATGCCATAAAACTATGGTAACACTACCGCATACTTCGTTAAAATACGGGGATAAAGCGGCATTCTCGCACAATGCCGTACTGATTCGGTATCAGTTTTACCCCTATTTCTGATACTGTACGTACTTTACATGTACTTGTATCTGTCGTTAGTTCCATGGCAGCAGAGCGAGTGATACCTTATGACTGTATACTCTGTGCTCTTTAAAGTTTTCGCCAAAATAAATGTACTGCGCGTCATGTACTTGTAGTCCGGGCCGCCATATCATACCAAGTTCATCTACCATCACTGTAATACATGTGGCTTGCTGTAAGGTAGCATAAAAGAGAAAAAATACTGAGCGACAAAAGACTTATGTGATTAGTATCATCCCTCAAGAGCGTCGCTACCATATTGGGCTTTCTAATCACTGCTTCCACCCCGGGTTGAACCGGTGGTGTCATGCAACATGGTTGAGGCTTTTACCCCTCGACCACGCTACAGTGCTGTGAAGGTGGCTCGGGTCGTATATAAGCCGCTGGACTAGTGTTGGGTACGAAACGAGCTGTCTTAACTTGTAAGAAGGAGAGTTCGTGTCAACACCACGCTCCACGGCTGTGTGCCGCACACAGAGCCATCCGAACGGGTACAGCTGGTACAGTTCATAGATAATATCTGCCACTACTTGGCTATCGGTAATTACACTAGATGCAGATGAATTCACTTCATGAATTAATTCATCTAGTGATGGGCACGAGACAACTTGGTTTGGGACTTCAGACAAGACAAGAGGCAGCAAGACAACACACAACAAGACCAGGTGAGTTTTCTTATCACCTAGCTAAAGCGTAGTACTAATGTTGGCTTGAGATGGTAAAATCTAAAACTATCAAATACTTATCTTCAACAGCAAGAAAATATTACAATGTTGATAAGTCGAATGTAGTAATTATCTACCCCGAGTAGCTGGAGCACCTCGAGATCGAGACATCACCTCTTTTTGCACGGGCAAGCAAAGGTTGGACCGTACGAGGCAGAGGCACCTTGAAGCACTTATTCCTGCTCACATTGAGCAGCCTCATGGAGCACACTATTTAAAATTAGGGCTAGAGAGTACATTCGATTCAGGTGGGGGCGAAAAAGCTCGATGCCCACTTTGATTTTTGGAAAGTGCTCGTATTTGAAGCTCAACTGCAGATTAAGTTGCATCATGCGTAGTCTGCAGAAAGGAGATTGTGGATGGTTCTTCGGATTGCGACTATGTACATTGCAGGCTTGTTTCTACGACCATTTACTGTGCGCTTTAGTATTATTGGGTATGGGTAAGTACGTTAGAAACACGAACCATCGCTGTGAGACTGCATCGCCCTGAAAGGGCTCTTTGCTCGTATTTGGTATTTTTCATGCCCGCTAAGGTATTTATTGCAAGTCTTCCAACCTTACGTCACCGTCCGTTTCATGTTTAATTTGGGTGAGGGTAGTTTATGAGTACTGTTTCGACGGTTAATTCCAGCAATTCATTACTTTTTCTGGCTCCTCAGCCGTTTCTTGGAGGGTTTGGGGTATTCCTTAGTCAGTACTATTGTCAAGCTTCGTATACGCACGCGCGTTAGTATAAGTAGATACTTGTAGACTCCCGAACAGTCTCGAGGCACCCGCAGATTCTCTCAACTCTAGATTTCGAAACCGTCAGCTATCGCTACTCAACCCTGTCAATGATCACCAGTCCAGTACGAAACCTACCACCCCCGCGTACACGCCATCCCTACCAAGGCCGAGTGATATTCCAAGACGCGGTAACACAGACAGACGCCATGACATCACCGGGCAGCTGCTGCGTGGAGATATCCAGATAACATCACCACCATCTCCACCTCTCCTCCCACTCCTCTCCACTCCACTCCCCTCACCACTCACCACTCAGCACAACAATGTCCCACTCCGACGACCACAAAGAGCGCGACCTCGTCTCCCTGCTCTCAATCGACCAGCGCGCAGAGCTCACCCTGCTCATAGCCACCGCAACAGAGCGCATGCGCCGCAACATCACCGAGATATTCGACGCCCCAGCACCACCACAGCCGCCCCCCCCAATGGCGGCGAAAGGCGCCGCTAAAGAAGAAGAAGGGGGAGCCAAAGACGCCGCTGCTGCTGAAAAGGCAGTAGCAGAGCAGCCGCCGGGCGCGGGGGCTAAACAAAGCGTTCGCCTCATGGAGCTCAAGAAGACCGCGTTGACCTCCTTCGACACCTGGTCCTCCGCCGTGCTGCAGCGTATCAGCGAAGCCGTCCACTCCGACCTCGCGCCCCCCGAACAGACCCGCCTCCTCCGGCGCGCGTCCACAACAGCGTCGGAGGCGCCGCCGCCGCCAGCCCTACCAGAGATCTACGCGCCGATCCCCACACCACTCACGTCGAGCCTCCCACCCGACTACCCACCCATGGTGCTCCACGCCCTACTCCTGCTCCTCCTTTCCCTCGAGCGCTACGACGCCCGCTCGCGCGTCCTCCTCCTCATCACCGCATCATCCCTCAACGTCCCCGCCCAGTCCCTCATCGCGCAAGAAACCCAGACCGCCAGCGTCCTCGTCAACGCCGCGCACATGTCCGCCGACCAAGAGTCGAAGGCCCGCTCCGACTCCGCCCGCTCCGGCAAGTGGTGGAAGGTCGGCCTCGCATCCGTCGCCGGCGCCGTCGCAATCGGCGTGACCGGCGGCCTCGCCGCGCCCCTTGTCGCCGCCGGCGTCGGCAGCGTCATGGGCGGCATCGGCCTCGGCGGCACTGTCGCGGCGGGCTATCTCGGCGCGATGGCATCGAGCGGCGCAATCGTGGGCACGCTGTTCGGCGCGTATGGCGGGAAGATGACGGGCGAGATGATGGAGCGCTACGCAGCGGCCGTGCGGGACTTCGCCTTCATCCCCGTCAAGGCGCGGGCCGAGCGTCTCCGCGTCACGATAGGCATCTCGGGGTGGCTCACGGTGCCGGAAGAGGTCACGGCGCCGTGGGGCTGCCTCAATGGTAACGCGGACGTGTATGCGCTCCGCTGGGAGATGGATGCGCTGCTGGACCTGGGGTCGTCGCTGCAGACCATCCTGAAGAGCTATGCGTGGGGCTATGTCAAGTCAGAGATCATCAAGCGTACGGTGTTTGCGGCGCTGTGGGGCGCCGTCATGTGGCCGGTGACCATCCTGAAGATTGCGCGCGTCGTCGATAATCCGTTCTCGATCGCGAAGCACCGCAGTGAGAAGGCGGGGAGGGTGCTCGCGGATGCGATCGTGAACCGCGCGCAGGGGGAGCGGCCGGTCACGCTGGTCGGATTCTCGCTGGGCGCGCGGGTGATCTATAGTTGTTTGCTGAGCCTGGCGGAGCGCGGGATGTTCGGGCTGGTGGAGAATGTGGTGGTTATGGGGGCGCCGGTGCCGGCGGATGTGGATGAGTGGCGGCGGATTAGGAGTGTGGTGGCGGGAAGGTGCGTGAATGTGTATTCGGAGAGCGACTATATCTTGGCGTTTCTGTACCGCACGAGTAGTATCCAGCTTGGGGTGGCGGGGCTGCAGAGGGTTGGGGTGAGGGGGGTGGAGAATGTGAATATGGGGCATGTGGTGGAGGGGCACTTGAGGTATCGGTATGTGACGGGGATGGTGCTGAGGGATATCCTCGGGGAGGATGTGGAGAGGGAGGTGGTGGAGAGGGAGGAGAGGGAGCTGAGGTTGGTGATGAGGAGGGAGGAGGAGCGGGAGAAGGAGGAGGGGGGGAAGGGGGAGGAGGAGCAGGAGGGCGAGATTGATAGTGTGGTGGATAAGGCGGAGAAGGAGCTGGAGGAGAGGAGGAGGAAGAGGGCCGCGCTGGAGGAGGAGAGGAAGCGGGCGATGGGGGAGTAAGTGATACCTTGTAGTTTGGCCTTGTTGTTTGTTAGTCTTTGCGTGCAAGCAGGGAATTGGGTTTGTGGGAATGGCGTAGCTAGAGATACATGCAGTTACGAACACACGAGGGTGTTTGAGACACCACTTCTCCTTGCGAGTGTTTCGTACCATGGAGTGTTTTTGTATCGAGAGATATCTGACGTTGCGTTGTGTTGTGGTGTGGTGTGATTCGAATCGCATCATGGGCTATCACTCGCGCTGAATTTTCCGTGTGCGGCTCCTCGTTACACCACCAAGAACCTACATAACCGCTCCTTTCACAGGGTCCACCAGCCAAGCACCAACCACAACCTCAACACTGAGACCTCTCTCCTTCAATCTGCATCAGTCTCGAGTTCTGGCCGCAGGCGAGGACTCGAGACGGCGTGGTACTTTCAGGGTGATCTTTTAGTCCGCAGGAGAGAGGGATGAATTCTCTTGAACGTTGCTGGAAGTCGGCAGTCTCTCGTGTGTGTGTGTGTATGTTCGTGCCTCTAAGTCTAGAGAAACAGAGGTCAACTGACGCCTATGTCTTCACAGTCGGTCGTATCTTATGAGAGAGCAGAGATGGCAAGCACCAGATTATGAGCATGACGATCCAGAGTTTGGAGGGGACTGGGGGGGGGAGGCTTTTGGTGGTCTTCTACAGATAGAGAAAACAGCCCAATTGACGGATCTTCGTGGTGTGTGAATTGCCCACCAATGTAACGCCGATCGACATTGTGTTGTCAATATATGCGGTCGAGATGGTACTGACCGACGTAGGTGCGCAAGACGGGGTGGGGGAGGGGGAGGGGTCAATGCGTGTTAGTAGCACGTGCGGGCTGGGCTGGAGGTAGATTCACGTAGATGGGACCTGCGAACTCAAGCACCAAAAGGTGTGTCCGTAAAGCGCCTCCTCAAGATGCGGAGGAAGAAAATGAAGGGTAAAAGGCGAAGAATTTACACTGGCATGATTTCCCTTTGGGGAGGTCCAGCTGCGTGATATGTGATGGTCATCGTTCCTGGTAGTCCCATATCTACACAGTCGTCCTTCTAGTCATTCTGTGGAGTTGTTCCTACAGGCTGGCTGCTGGATATGCTGGGTAGACTATACCTCCATCTAACATGATGACCGGTGCGTGTCGGCGGGGTGCTGGTTGGTGAAGCATCTGAACGGCCCGTCCTGGGGGCTCTGTGCAGTTGTCCAAGCGGCTATATACGATCCGAGCCACTTCAACAGCACCGTGGCGTGGTCGAGGGGTAATAGCCTCGACTACGTTGCATGACACCACCGGTTCAACCCGGGGTGGAAGCACTGGTTAGAATGCCCAACATGGTAGCGACGCTCTTGAGGGATGATACTAATCACGTAAGTCTTTTGTCGTTCAGTATTTCTTCTTTTTTTTCCTCTAGCAAGCACGCCGTCGCTAAAAGGTGAGGGGTTATGGAATGGGGGGGTAGGTTTGGCGAGACGGGCTATGCCGTGTTACGTTTGAGGTTAAAAAAACGTAGAATTGGATGTGCCGCTGAAGGGTAAGTCATGGGATATCACTCGCTTTTGTTGCCAAGAGATTAACGAGCAGGTAAGAATCCCGAGAAGGAGGGCGCAGGACCTGCCTGCACACACTAGAAGCCAGTCTCATACATACTTTCCAGAATGTGCCAATACTGGTACAGTCCGGTGTAATAGGATCATTTCGTTTGGTGGCTTATTTTCTCAAAAATACTTATCATCGTCAGGGCTCTCGTATGGTGGAAGGAACTCTACTATAGTAGGATTAGTATCGACTCTACAAGTACCATCTTTTTGTCACACGGAAGCCTCAATTTATCACAGGAAGACGGGCCGCCAAGACGAACTACATGATGTTTCTGCGCAAAAATCGGAGGTGAAGAACGCAGATTTGAAATCCTACCCATACAGAGCTTCTAGATCTTCTACCATATTTTGTATGGACCCAACACGCTCCGAGCTAGCGCAAAGCTCAGACGCGAGCGGAGGTTTTCTAAACTTTAAATGTTTTCGAATGTGCCATACAGAACCAAGTATTTCGGGGTCTGCAAATGGCTCTAAACTCCTCATCTCTCCGAGAGCCCTCCGAGTCGCTCGAAGAATCGCTTATTACACCAGACTGTGCACACAGTGCACAAGGTGCATAGTCTAGGAACGAGCGTTCTTGTGTCCTTGTCTCGAGGACTTCCAAGGACACTTCTTGCCTAAGAAAGTATTTTACAGTGAATATTCCCGATTGAGATGAGGAATACACTTTTTATTTTCAAGAAAAAGTACCGCTTTTTGCTCTGCCGGAATCACTCTTGAGACTTTATCGCCCTCGAGGTTCCTCGAGGCATCCCGATGACAGTACTGTGTCGGGCATCGAGGGGTAGACAACGGGAGAGATCGACGAAAGCGAGGCACGGCCTCAAGGGCACATCTTGTACTCTCAAACATCCAGAGTTGCTTCGAGCGTCCTCCTTGACCACTTTAGCTCAGCCTTAGTTACCCAGCCGTTCATATACGACTCGAGGTACTTTCACAGCACCGTGGCGTGGTCGAGGGGTAAAAGCCTCGACTACGTTGCATGACACCACCGGTTCAACCCGGGGTGGAAGCACTGGTTAGAATGCCCAACATGGTAGCGACGCTCTTGAGGGATGATACTAATCACATAAGTCTTTTGTCACTCAGTATATTTCTTCCTTTTTTTTTTCATCTAGCAAGCGCGCCATCACTAAAAACTAAAGCATTATGGAATAGGGGAGGTAGCGAGACGGGTTATGTGCCGCGTTACGTTTGAGTGAGAAAACGTAGAATTGGATGGGCCGCTGGAGGTAAATCATGGAATATCACTCGCTTTTGTTGCCAAGAGATTAACGAGCAGGTAAGAATCCCGAGAGACGGAGGAGGCAGGGCCTGCCTGTACACACTAGAAGCCCGTCTCGTACATACCCAGAATGTGCTAATACTGGTACAGCCCGGTGTAATAGGATTTTTCGTTTGGTAACTTATATTCTCGGAGAACGTACTTATCATCGTCAGGGCTCTCGTACTGGGGGGGTGTTCGAGAGATGTATGGTGGAAGAAACTCTGCTAGAGTAGGAAACTATGTACTAATCGACTCTACAGACGAACTACAGGGCGTTTCTGCGCCAAAATCGGAGGTGAAGTACGCAGGTTTGAGTACATCCTGCCCGTACAGAGCTTCTACAGTATTTTGTATGGACTTAGCACGCCCCGAACTAGCGCAAAACTCGGACGCGAGCGGAGGTTTTCTAAACCCTAAATCTTTGCGAATGTGCCATACAGAAGTATTTTGGGGTCTGCGAATGGCTCCAAACCCCTAAATTTTCCGAGAGCCGTCTGAGTCACTCGGGGAATCACTTATTACACCAGACTGTGGACGCGGTGCATAGGTTGGGAACGAGGCTAAATTGAAGCTTCAGATGTTTTTGCACCGGCAGAGGAACCCTCCCTTATCAAGCAGACAAACTGTGACGGTGACGGTGATGATGATGATCGAGTATAAGACCTAGTCTACGGGAACGACGTCCTTGTGTCCTTGTGTCCTTGCCTCGAAGACTTCCAAGGAAAATTCTTGCCTAAAAAAAGTGTATAGTTAATACGCCCGACTAATACGAGGTCGGCGGTAGAATACGATTTTTATCTTCAAGAAAAGGTACCGCTTTTTGCTCTCCCGGAATCACTCCTGAGTCTTTATCGTCCTCGAGGTTCCTCGTAGTGTGGTCCACGAGCCGGCTCAAGTCGAGCCTTGGGAATGGCTCGAGCCGGCTTGAGGTAGAAAGGGAAAGGTTTGTCCGGCCTGCGAAAAGCTCAAGTCCTCAAGCTTGTCTCGAGCTGGTAATTTGTTTTTGACTATGCCTACAACTGTTACCAGTGTTCTCTCCTATAGATCAGCTAATATCGAACTCTCTGATCATCTCCTCTAGCTAAGCCGTTATTGCCTCAATTAAGTACATCATTTTTTGATATTAGGGTGGGCAAGTATAGATAAGGACGGGCAAAACCTATGAAATCTTAGCATATATATAAAATCATGCATCAACGTCTCAAGCCGGCTCAAGCTGTATTTCAAATGGACTCGAGCCAGCTTGGGCTTGTGATCTTCTCAACTTGTGAGGCTTGAGCTATTGGCTCAAGCCGAGTCCTCGAGCCGGCTCGTCTCGTGGACCACACTAGTTCCTCGAGGCATCTCGATGACAGTACTGTGCCGGATATTGAGATGTGGGCAGGGAGAGCGATCAACGAGAACGAGGCACCTCGAGAACACATCTTGTACTCTCAAGGATCCAGAGTTCTAAGTTGCTTCGAGCGTCCTCCTTGACCACCTTAGTTACCCAGCCGTTCATATACGATCCGAGCCACTTCAACAGCACCGTGGCGTGGTCGAGGGGTAATAGCCTCGATTACGTTGCATGACACCACCGGTTCAACCCGGGGTGGAAGCACTGATTAGAAAGCCCAACATGGTAGCGACGCTCTTGAGGGATGATACTAATCACATAAGTCTTTTGTCCCTCAGTATTTCTTCTCTCTTTTTTTTTTTTTTTGCCCAAAGTAACACCACCGCTACATTAGTGATAATGGGCATTCGTCGATTGTAGGATACATGTAGCTTTGTAACACAGACTTCATGCCGCGTCACTCCCGGGGGTGCGGAGTAAAACACGCCGCTGGAGAGCAAGAAATCTCAGGATATCACTCGCCTCTTCGCCAAGAGAATTATTCGGCATAATAAGGCCCCAATAAGCGTAATTTAAGGATTATCATGAAATAAGACTTAAAAAATATTTATATATTAAAGAATTAATGTCTTTATCGCCCTCGAGGTTCCTCGAGACATCTCGATGACAGTACTGTGTCGGATATCGAGGGGTGGACAAGGAGAGCGATCAACGAGAACGAGGCACCTCGAGGGTACATCCTGTACTCTCAAACATCCAGAGTTGCTTCGAGTGCCCCCTCCTTGACCACATTAGCTCTATGTAGTTGTCCAGCCGTTCATATTCGACCCGAGACACTTTCACAGCACCGTGGCGTGGTCGAGGGGTAATAGCCTCGATTACGTTGCATGACACCACCGGTTCAACCCGGGGTGGAAGCACTGATTAGAATGCCCAACATGGTAGCGACGCTCTTGAGGGATGATACTAATCACATAAGTCTTTTGTCCCTCAGTATTTCTTATTCTCTCTTTTTTTTTTTTTTTTTTTTTTCTGCCCAAAGTAACACCATCGCTACATTAGTGATAATGGGCATTCGTCGATTGTAGGATACATGTAGTTTTGTGACACGGACTTCATGCCGTGTCACTCCCGGGGGTGCGGAGTACTAGAGTTAAAACAGACCGCTGGAGAGCAGGGAATCATGGAATATCACTCGCCTATATCTTCGCCAAGAAAATTCGGCATAAGGCCCCGATAAGCGTAATTTAAGGATGATCATGAAATAAGGCTGAAAGCACCCTTAAAAATGATTTATATACTGAAGAGCTCTTTATAAAACTACGGCTCGCCTAAAGATTTGGTAAATTTTATTTGAGGCATATAAAAAACACAGTTCCAGCCGTAACTTGAAGGTACGTAACCAGCAGGCGCAAAAACCCCGAGAGACGGTGAGCTCAGGACTTGCTTGCTCGCAGTGGCACTGCTAGTGTGGTCCATGAGCCGGCTAGAGCTGGGATTGGTCTATATTTCGAGCCGACCCATGATATGTTGATTTAGGCTCGAGCCTCCCCGGCTCATGGAGAGTCGAGCTTGAAAAGACTCGATAAAAGACTTGATACATTAGCTCGAGTCGGCTTGAAAGACTCGATAAAAAACTCGATATATTAACTTGAGCCGGCTTGTCCCGTCGGCTACAATAACACACGAAATCCTTCACCGGTTGAGGAACCCTCTTATCTAACGGGCAGGCGTCCGGCCGCTTATATGCTACTCGAATTTGATTAACAGCATCATGGTGTGCACGTGGTCGAGGAGCAATACCGACGCAAATGCCTTTTCCGTGGGGGGGGCAGCAGGTGTACTTTGGGGATGGAGCGGTCCGCTGTGTTTTGGTATCTCATACAGACTGGCAGGTGATTCACATATGGATGGCTCCTGCGTACTTGAGCAGCAAATACCATACAAGTATCCATAAGATACAAGCACCTCCTCCTCCAGTCCCGGAGAAGTTGAATGTGGAGAAACAGGCTTGTGGGTGGGCACTTGCATGGCGCGCCTCCCCTCTGAGTACTTGTAGGTCCAGCTACCTTGTAGTCATGCCTGGTAATCTCACATCTACACAGTCGTCCTCCTGGTCGTTGCGTGGAGATGTTCCCATGGACAAGCTATGCTGGTACGGTAGATGGGACTTGAACCTCCGAACAGTGGTGCGTGCTGCACCTGTCCCCTACTTTGTGTAGTTGTCCGATCGATTATATACGACCCGAGCCCCTTTGACAACATCGTGGCGTGGTCGAGGGGTAAAATCCTCGACTACGTTGCATGACACCACCGGTTCAACCCGGGGTGGAAGCACTGATTAGAATGCCCAACATGGTAGCGACGCTCTTGAGGGATGATACTAATCACGTAAGTCTTTTGTCGTTCAGTATTTCTTCATTTTTTTTTTTTTGTTGCCTTAAGGTATACTTATCGCTACTGGGGATGGATGCTCGCTCATAGAGTATATAGAACAGATGATAATATTGGCGGGGCGTACTGCGCCCTGCCACGCGTTCGGGAGTGAGTGCTCGAGACTAGCGCTGTGATGTATACCTCCATGTCAAAAATCCTGGGACAAGCCCCCGTAGCAACTCGCGGTTGCGTCGTCCCGGGACTTTTGAACAAGAACTATACAATCACGAAATATCACTCGCTCGGTTGCCAAGGAACTAACGAGCAGGAACCCCGAGCGACGGTAGGCGAAGGGCCTACATGTATGTACACATGCGAGCAAGAAGCTCCCTTACACCGAAAAAACATTTCTTATACAACACGTGAGATATTCACAATAAATAACCTACAACACCAACACCTATAAAACAGTCCGCTGACCCCCCCAGGCGTGGGGAGTGTTGATCGCCATCGTTAATTACCCCCGGCCCGAAACGGTGGTGTAGCGCAGATGAGGCTTGATTAGGTTCCCTGGAAAGGGGTGGGTACCACAGGCTTAGGTAAAGAAGATCGAGTCTTACAGGCAGATTAGACCAGAGTAGATTCTGGCTCGACACTACTTTACTCTGCTCTGACTACCTAGAGCAGCCAGATTCACATGCTTCTAGTTTGTAAGCTTAAGGGCTGCGCAGCCAGGCATGCACAGCAATGCGTTTTAACTACACTGATAGTCTACGCGACACTCACTACGCCACTGTACAGACGAAGAAAACTCAAGTCCATTTCTAGAAGGTCTATTCATACCGAGTGATACACCATGACCCACATCTCAACTCACACACACACGGAGTGTCCAAACCACAATTTCATACCTACATGCAGCTACATACATAAATTAAAAAAATACAAAGAGAGAGTGGTATCCTATCTAAAAATCCACGAGTAACAAAAGAAACCAAATTTTCCAACAAAAAGAGCGACGATCCAACGATCCCAAACCCAAATGTAAAAAAAAAAAACACCACAACAAGTATGCCCCATAACACCTCCAGCAATCCCATCCCTTGCTCGCGAAAAATGGTAGCCACGTGTAGCCCAAAACAAAGCTCAGAATAAAAAAAAAAAAAAAGTCAAATAAAAAAAGGTATAAAGACGACGACGCCCCCAATGCAAAAAACGCACTCACACACTCACACACACACGGAGACTACAACCGAGCCCCCCTCCTCGCCATCAGCGCCGTGCCCACCTTACTATCGTTCCTTCGCCCCAGCACGCCCGAGATCCAATCCCCAATCTCCACAATCTTCTGCAGATCCACATTCGTGCTCACGCCTGTGCCCTCGAGACTATATTCACACCCATTCATCAGCCCTCATCCCCTTTCCTCTCTACCAAAGTCACAAGGGGGGGGGGGACAACTTACAAATACACCAAATCCTCCGTCGCCACATTCCCCGTAGCACCCTTAGAATACGGACACCCTCCCAGCCCTGCAATGCTACTATCAAACGTCCTAATCCCCGCCTCCAGCGCAACCAGGCAGTTCACAATCGCCTGCCCATACGTGTCGTGGAAGTGCGCCGCCAGCTTCTCGGCCGGCAGGTGGCGTTCCTTGATCAGATAATTCACCAGCGTTCCAACCGTACCTATCTCATCATTAGCCCCATTTCCCCTTTCTTATATTACGCAGAACAGGGAGAACTAACCAGGCGTCCCAACACCGTTCGTATCCCCCAACGACACCTCATAACACCCCATCTTCAGCAGCTCCTCCACCACATCCGCCACCTTCGCCGGCGGCGTCGGCCCGTCGTAGGGACACTCAATGACCATGCTGACGTATCCGCGGACGGCGATGCCCTGTTCGCGCGCGCGCTCGACCACAGGGCGGAAGCGCCCGAGCGACTCGGCGATTGTGCAGTTGATGTTCTGCTTTGAGAAGCCCTCGGAGGCGGAGGCGAAGATTGCGATCTCGGAGGTGTGCTGGTTGGTGGTGGAAGAGGGGGCAGGGGCGGGGGTGGCCAGGTACGAGGTGAGCCCTTGCATGTTGGGGGTGAGGTAGCTGTAGGTTACGGGCACGGGCGCAGCTGGCGGGTGGCTGTTGAGGTGGGTGTGGATTTGGGGGGTGTCGGCCATTTGGGGGACCCATTTTGGGCTGTGGGGTGGTTAGCGAGTGAGTTCTTATGAAGAAGGATACTATTATGGCTATGGATGTGCGTTGTGGTGCGGAAAGAGTACTTCGGTACATCCACCCAAACACTCTTTCCACACAACAACACCCCCCCTCTCCATAAAATGCAATACATACCTCACAAACGATCCCGCCTCAATATGCCTCAGCCCCGCCCCACTCAGCCTCTCAATGAGCTCAATCTTCGTCTCCGTCGGCACCACGCCCTGCTCATTCTGCAACCCATCTCTCGCGCCCACCTCCACAATCTTGACCGCGCCCCTCATCGGCACCTTCTTGACCGTCATCTCCTCCTTCTCCTCACCAACAGTCGTCGTAGACGTCGAAGCCGAGCTTGCGCCGGGCGAAAGGGGCGAGACACTCTTGAAGCGGCAATGCGTATTCGCGCGGAACCCCACTGCGGCCTGGCCGTGTAGCTGCTGTTTGGCGATGTGGCTGTTGCTACTGTTGTTGCTGCCGCTGATGCTGCTGCTGCTGCTGCTGCTGCTGGGGATGCGCGGCTTGAGGCGGAAGAAGGATGAGAAGCTGGAGAGGCTCGAGAAGCCGCGGGCGTAATATACGCCCAGCGGCCGGCTGAGGACGACGCTGTTCATTTTGCGGGTGGGGGTTGCGGTGGGGGGGTGGTGGTGGTGGTCGGCGTCGGGGTTTAGAGCTTGGTTGGGGGTGTGGTTGTGGGTGTCTGGAATGGTGGGCTTTGTTAGCTTTTGGTTGTTCATGCAGGGGCTCTATCTAGGGTAGCTAGCTATAATAAGGCCTGACAGGTGCATGATGACTGCTGTGGAGTGCTCTGGAGGAGAAGAGAATGGGATGGGATAGAATGCCTACCCTTGCTTGTGCTTGTGCTTGTGTCTGTCGGAGGCGTGAATACAGACGTTGTTGTCGGCCGAGGACGGAGGAGAGTCTTCTTTGCAGGTGTCGTTGCAGTCGTCGTCGTTGGTGTCGTTACCGGGTCCGTTGCCATGCTCTTTGGGGCGTTAGTCCAGAAGCGGAGCCGCGGCCTGTGGGGGAGGCCCAAACACATAATTGCAGGGTAAGGATATGGAAATGATATGTGTGTATGGGGAGGGATATAGGATATAGGATCTAGGAAGAAGTCGAGCAAGACGGGGAAGAAGAAGAAGATAAAGACACCCGGGGGGGGGGGGAGAGGTGCACCCACGGCACTGCTACAAGTACTAATACTGGTACGGCTGCTGTTACGGCTGCTGCTGCCACCGAGTACTGGGGGGGACCTTGATCTCGACAGCCTCACACGCGAAACGAGTAGCGACGGGCGCCAGAGAGGAGGAGGAGGAGGGTGCAGCAGTCGGGCTTTTGAAGGTTTACTCGGGTCCAGCATCACACTCTTGCTTTCCTTCTATCTCTGGACGTAACTCGTTTGCTCACTGCGCTAGTCGACTAGTAAGAAGTGAGAAGGAGTAAAAAAAACAGGATGGAACGGAAGCCGAAGAAAAGCGAGGTCTACGAGGGGACTTGATAGGGTTTCTCTCTTTTTTTCAGCTGTTACGACCGCCCGACCGAGGAACAGGCGAGTTTGTAATCGCGGGGGGGGCGCGGCAGTGGGGGAACAAACCCTGTGCAGCACTTTTCCAGGGACGAGAGAGAGAGGCAGTGAGTGATAGGGATGACTTCATTCTTCTCCTGCTATTATCCCTGGCTTGGCTTGCAGCAAATGTGGGGGAGAGATCTAAGGCTTGATGGGGGAAGGGGAGGGAAGGGAAGGAAGGAAAGAACCGCCAACGCGGATGATCTCCACTGCTAGATCGGGGACCCTTTCTTGCTTAGCCCGGGAAGCTGAGGTTGCGCGATGCAAGGTGCATCATCATCAGGGTGCTGTGGGTAATAATAGATTAATGAGATACACGACATTCTAGAACACGCAGAGCAGAGTACACTGCAGAAACCAAGCAAGAAGGCTTTCTCTTGAACATCTCATCTCACCCCATCATCAAAGCGACTGAGACTGAGACCTGATGAAGTGCCGATTCAGTCATTCTCACCAGCACCTCTCTCTCCCTCTCTCTCTCTCTAGAGGACTGGTGTTATCCTTTTATTCGAAGCAGAGTCTTATCGATTGCTGACTGGGTTAGGGTTACCTTGACATCCCACCACCATGCATGTATCCAGGGAACCCCGCGCCAACCAAAACATTCCCAAGAACTCGTCTCAAGCCTCCCTGTTAAATACTCATTCTCACGGTGGATTTAACGGCCCGCACACACGATATTTCCGGCGCCCCTCAGAACCGAATCACGAATCCCGACAGACGCATCTCGATTCTCCCGGCTATCAATCGCACGAGCTTAGCTTATTCCCGGGAATTTTCTGACGGTCCCAAAGATCGGACATCGGACTTTATACATCACCACCAAACCACCCTCTCCCCTGAATATCTTTCCGCACAGGGATATCAACCTCCATAATGACTTCTCCGGACGCCCCAGTCGATACCGCTCCCACCACCACCGCCGCAGATATCCCCGATACCGCCGCCCCCGCGCCGAAGCAGCCCCGAAAGCGCTTCGTCGGCAAACGAACCGCCACCGAGCTACAAACCCAAAAAGCTACCAGCACGAGCACGGGTATTGAAGAAGGCGATGCCCTCCAACGTACGTCTCCTCCTCCGGGCCCCTCTCGGCCGTACTCCCCCAAACTCCACTTGCGTCCGGGCCCCCAAAATACACCCAACTAACACCCCCGCAGTCTCCGCCAAACCCCGCCGCACCGGCGGCCGCGCAATAAACCAGATCCCCCCCGAAATCCTCCACGATGAGGCCCTAAACGCCGCCATCACCCTCCTGCCGCCCAACTACAACTTCGAAATCCACAAGACCATCCATCACATCCGCAAGACCTCGGCGACGCGGGTGGCCCTGCAGATGCCCGAGGGCCTCCTCCTCTTCGCCTGCACCCTCGCCGACATCATCGAGACCTTCTGCCCCGGCGTCGAAACCCTCATCATGGGTGACGTCACATACGGCGCATGCTGCATCGACGACTACACCGCCCGCGCCCTCGGCTGTGACCTCCTCGTCCACTACGCACACTCGTGTCTAATCCCCGTGGACGTGACCGAGATAAAGACGCTCTACATCTTTGTCACTATCGGTATCGATGTCACGCATCTCGTGGACACGATAGAGCGCAACTTTGCTGCGCCGAAGCATCTGGCCCTCGTGGGGACGATACAGTTTAATGCCGCCATCCACGCCGCGCGACAACCGTTAGAGGCAGCGGGATACACACTAACAGTCCCACAGATTATGCCGCTATCAAAAGGCGAGATCCTGGGCTGCACCAGCCCCCAAATCAACACCAAGGAGGTCGACGCACTCATCTACGTCGGCGACGGGCGCTTCCACCTTGAATCCGCCATGATCCAGAACCCGACGCTGTCCAGTCACCGCTACGACCCGTACTCCCGCCGCTTCACCGTCGAGAACTACAATCACGACGAGCTGTACAGCCTGCGACGGGCTGCAATCGCCACGGCGCAGAAGGCGCGGAAATATGGGCTGATCCTCGGAACGCTAGGGCGGCAGGGAAATGCACATACAGTGGAAAGGTTGGAGGAGCGGTTACGGGTGCTGGGGATCCCATATGTAGTTGTGTTGCTGTCCGAGATCTTTCCGGGGAAGCTGGGGATGATGAAGGATGTGGAGGCGTGGGTACAGGTGGCCTGTCCAAGGTTGAGCATTGATTGGGGGTATGCGTTTGAGCGGCCATTGCTGAGTCCGTATGAGGCAACAATTGCGCTGGGATTGAGGGAGGAGCAGTGGGGTGTGGGCGGGGAGGGGTATAAGATGGATTTTTATGCGAAAGAGGGATTGGGGAGGACAAAGAGGGGGGAGGGGCTGCCGGGGTTGGGGGTATAGAAGGATGTATATAGAGGGAAGTAAATAAATAGGATATAGGGCAACTGTTTTCACTGTGAGTTGTGTGTTTGCTGTTTTCCGGTAACGAAATGCCACATCAAAACTATCGACGAAGATTCGGGGCTATGATAAAGGTAGAGTTGTAAATCATAGCGCCCAACATAACAGCCCTCAAGAAAAGAGACGTGAGTAAGTTATAAGTAGAGTGTATGCGTACCCGTCCACATCCACATCCAACCAACGAGCCATGGCCACCGCTCAGCAGGTAGCAATCTTATCAGACCACAACTGTACATCCTACTCACTTTATCAACATTGGTAGTTGGCGATTTCTTTGATACCAGGTCTATCGTCTAGAATGGACTGCTTACCTGTAGTTTGGTTGTTTTATATCAGCCTTGACGTTTTCAGGCTCTTGAGATATAGTGTTCTGATTGGTCTATTGGGTCGACCCCGTCTCTAGAGTTTTGTTTCTGTCCAGATAGGAGGATGGAATGACGATGGTTTGATTTCTCAGTTGCAGCGAGCTTGGCTTATAAGTCACAAATTAAAACGAACACCTATCCCTATGGATGGATTTACAGCCACGTAATCGCTGAAACGTGTCTTATAAACACTTAAACTGGTGATTTGTCCCGCAGCGTCCAGGTACCGTTTCCAGCTAAGGAGGATATATTGATGGGTGAGTTTGGGGGAAACGGCGGTGGTGCGCCTACCTACATGTAATTCTGTTCCCCGTTGCTAGAGGGGTTAGCTACATGTAGATCCATTCGTGTGTCTGTATTCTTCACTGCCTACCGGCGGTATAAATACATGTAAATATGGCGCGCGGCATCAGTGTGTATGTGTCCTTTCTCTTGTCTTGTTCTCTCCCGCGCGGCTTGGTAGCCGGTTTGAGGGGACAACGTATCCGTCGTTAATGTTTGCGAGAAATCTCAGGGCAATTCGATGCGTAGTAAAATACCCTTCTGGTTGGCAGTTATAGTGAGGGATCGGATGAAAATGGAGCGGGCTATTTGTGTCATGCATGAAATATCACTCGATGCGCCATGCTGGAGGTCTGGGTAGAGTTAGGCTTGGTGGCGGGATGGCAGCAATTGAGATACACGGGTGGCCTACGAGGGAATTGGTTGGGATGTCTGGCACTCGGTGAAGCAGATATATTATATCTGGTTGAGCAATTGTAGATAACAGTCGAGTTATCAAACTGTAGCCTACTCATCCTGATATCCCACACTCTAAAGAAACTGGAGAGGCAGAACGCCACCTAATCCATAACCAGTGTAAAAGAACTCATCAAAAAGATATAATTTTACAAGTAAAACAGCTCATAACCCCCAGGAGAAGAACAACCACGCAATTCATCCCCCCCCCCCCCAAACTCCTATCCTACACTCCCTATCCTACAACCTCCCCAGTAACCCCCAGTAACCCCCCCCCCCCCCCCCCCGCGCCGGCGCGGCCATCCCCCACCCCAGCACCCTTAAAAGTCCGTCACCCTCCCATTAAAACTATAATCCCCATGCCTCAACGGATCATTCTTGGGCCCTCCCACCTCGCCCGTCTTCGGATTCACATCGCCCTCAAACTCCGGTGGCGCGCCCCGCCTGATATCCGGATGCACCAGCTCGCCCTCCTTCTCCACGCCGGGCTCGTAGTGCTGCGACGTCGAGAAGGCGCCCGAGGACATGCGCTGCAGGCGCTCGAACTCGGCTTGTTCGGCCGGGGAGAGGCGGGGCGGCGAGGGGGGCGCGGGCGGGATGGATGAGTGCCGGGGGACGGTGGTGGTGAGGGTGCGGTGGAGGGGGCGGAGGCGGAGGGGGAGGCGGAGGAGGCGGAAGGACATGGTGTGTGTGTGTGTGATACTTGTTGGAGGTTTTTAGGCTGTGGTTTTATGTGAATTGGTTTCGTGTTGTCGTTTTATGTGAAGTGGCGATTTCAGAAGTGAGGTTCGAGTTTAAGATGTCGGCGGTGGTGGGACTGCAGCTATTTATGTGGGGGGCGGCTCTGCCTCGGTTGTCCGGGATCGGCCGGGGGTGGGGTGGAATTACGTTTTTCCGGGAATAGTTAGACTACCGGATTCGGTAGACCGTAATATTTGGAGGCACTACGTTTTGCAGAATAGGTATCACGACTTGTAGAGCTGAAGTGATTGCAGACGGAGCTGCGAGAGTTGAAAACTAACTTGACGTAAATCAGCTAGAATACAAATTCAACACCAGGTAAAAAAATACCTTCACCTCCAAACCGCAAAACCCACCAAGATCTGATCTATCAATGCCAAGCCCCACCACACCCACTCCTCATACTCTAGTTTGAAAGACTTGTGGGATCCGAATCGCAATCTACACTACACTCGCACCCACCCCACCGCAGCACAACCCCTCCCCCCCCCCCGGGGGGGCCAATTCCTTAGAAGAGGCAGGCAGTAGATGGGAGTAGATAAGAGAAGGATACTAGAACCGCACTGAAGACCCACAAACCGCCAAAAACCAATAGAAATAATCCTGCGCGCCCCAGATCAAAGCCCTAGATATAGATAGCAGTGCGGTAGAGAGCAGAAGATCTAGAGCTGTAGAAGGAGCAACCACGTGGATACAACAAATCCATGTAATAAAACTACTGTGTACACATGGACCTAAACTGGGCCTTTCCTCTTCTGCTTGCATCAACCGCATTTGGGTTGATTGAAACCAGTTCTAGTGTTGAGGAAGTTGGTCATGGAATCTCACTCGTGCTGGTAGCTTATTGGTATCGTAGGTTTTGAAAGCCTTGATAGCCGCTCAAACCCAATACAGTGCATTAAAATCGCAATACCCGGCGGCTTCGAGACCAGCGTTAGGCTTGGGGGCTTCTAGAACTAACCGTCACTGTATTTTTGGTGTTGCATTAATGCCATGTCGATCGGCGTTATATTCTGCCTTGTCGCCTGGGCTGGCTTGCCAATGTCCGCGAGTTGGGGCGGCTGCTGAATGAGTGTCAGCTTGGGTATCAGGTATTTTTGCTAGTATAACTGCATGCTTCTGACCGCTGTATGATGGGCGAGCGGTTACTAGCATTGACGTCTGAGATGGTTACCCAAAACCTCAAGAGAGTAGCAAGAGGGGGAAGCGAATGTAAAAGTTACAGGAAGCGGAGGCAAAGAAAACCACCAGAGTCTCAATTGCAAGTCCTCGCGCGAATGTGGCAGGACGTTCTCAAGAAGACATAGAGAAACCCCGAACTCTATTTCAGGTCGAACGAAGCTTCTGGTTATACGCTGGAGGGAAGAAAGGGCCTAGTTATACCCCAACCCAAAAGTATATGTACGGAAAGGTAGTTTTGGCCGAGGTTGGGTTGAGGTGAGGTTGCGGGTTGCGGGTTGGGATGGGTAACCGATGGTAGGAAAAATACTGTCATGGATTCTCACTCGTGGCAACGGGTGTTGTTGAACGACAGCAACCAGCAACCCCTTCTACGACCGCACCGTATCTTGGAACCATCATGCAAGGATCCTTTCCACAAGAAATAGATATACACCACCACCCTATCAAAAGACCCAAAAAAATACTAATACCACTAAAACCAATAAACACGAAAGACCGGCAACAGGATATGATGATAAAAATAAAAATAACAAAAAACAGAGCATAAACTCCCCCCCTTCCCTTACATCTTCCCCACGTTCTAATTGAGACCACCCAGCTACATAAACTATTCATCCTTCGCCATTCCTCTGCCAAACGCCTTCTCCGCCTCACTCCACTTCCTCCGCTCCATCTCCATTCGGTCAACGTACGCCCTCCCAAACTTCCACACCTCAGTGCCGCCCAGGTTCCACGCCTCTACTGCCCTCCTCAGCCGCTTCTTTTTCCCGCCGTCTTTAGCGCTAAATGCATCCTTGTGCGTCATATCCAGCACCTTCACCTGCTGCGCATCTGGCTTCGGCAGGTCAAGCTTGACCTCCTCCTCTGTTGGCAGAGTGAAGCCTAGCGTCCACTCGATATCCTTGAACCCCGCGTCACTCGTCGACAGAATTGTCGTCGACGTTGGGTTTGCCGTCGCCGCCTTGATCGTCACGACTCTCGGGCCCGAACCAATCGACACGGGTGTCGTTACAGCGCGCAGCCATTCGTCGCGCTCTGTGCGCCGGCGTACGAAGCGGATGGATTTATCCTCGGAGTCCGTGGAGAGGTTGATCTCGGGATTGGTGAGGGCAATGAACGTGTACGGATGAGGAATTGTGCCGAGGGAGAAGACGCCTGTCTTGTTTGTGAAGGTCTTACTGGGCGTCACCTTCAATCCCTTCTTGCAGGGTTTGCAGTCCTGCTTGTTGGTTGGGCACGACTCAGGCTCCGGGTTATCAACTGGGCAGGCTGCGAGACGTGCTGCAAGAACCTGCGCAGGATAGTGAAGTGCGCCGAGGGTCTCCGGGAAGGGGAGGAGAAGGGAAATCCCAGACTGGTAGCGCGCGATCCAGTTCTCATGCAGGTGTGCATTGATTAGCTTTGGGAGGTCGCTTAACTGCAGTTTGGGGTACTTGATCTTGATTGCCTCGGAGGTGTAATCTGCGAAGGATTTTGGCAACGGGTCGATGTGGAAAAGGTCGTTTGCCATCTTGGTGGCGCCCTCAATGGTCACGGTACCGTTGTCTACTTTAGCGGAGGTGATGTACTTCAGCACCGCATCGATTGAAGCCTTATCGCCGGCAAAAACTCGGTGCCCATAGTTCTCATAGCGCGTCGCATAGGTGAAGTCGCAGCGCCGCAGAGCTGTGAACGTGTGGTCGTCGTACGGCGCCATAGGAATGACCTGTTTCATTCACCCACTCATTAGACATCACACCACTACAATAATACACCCCCGGTGCTCAAACGTACCCTATAATCAACCAGCACACCAGTACCCATACGGCTCCAAGCCAACCACCTCATGAGCTCCCTCTCAAAGTCTGGGTGAAAGTTCCCTGTGTCCCTGATAACCCTATACATTCCATGCTCCTTGGCCTCTCCCATTCCCAGTACCACCGGTTGGAACCCTTGCGCCCAGAACGCGCGCCTCCACGCCAGCAGCAGCTGATCCTCCACCTCCGCATCATCACCCTTGGCATCCGAATCATAGAACGTATACACCGGACACCTCTTCGGCATCGGCGGCAGCACACTACGCTCCTCGTCGCCCACGGCAATATTGCTTGAGAACGGATTCAGCCATTTCCAGCTAGAAAACCAGGAGTCGCTTGACCCGGTAGAATTGGTGGATGGCGGGGGAGGCGTGTGCGAGGTGGGCTTGAAAGGATTGAGGTCCTTGATTGAATCGGGGATGTGTGAGTGCGCGATGTCAAGGCCGATTACGGACTGCTCCGCGGTGGTGAGGAGGGACGCGGGAATGAAAAGGAGGGCGGAGACAGAGAGGAGGAGGATCCCCGAGAGGAATAAAAGCAGACGACGGGTGGAGATTGCCTGACTGCCGGTGATGAGACGCAGCTTGAGACCTGGTGGGGGTTTCATGACGATGTAATTGAGCTTTGGGTTTACGAGTTGACAGTAGGATTTAATATTGAAAAGGTGTCAGGAGGAGTGCTAATTGACAGTTGTTCACTAGAAAAGCTATCCACTCGGACATCCGCGGGGATAGAAAATGGGTCGAAGGTAGGCCTCTGCTAATTGAGGGGATAGTGGGATGTGGGAAGTGGGATATCCTGGGTGCCTGTGTCCGAGTCCGAGTCCGAGTCTGAGTCCGAGTGGTTTCTGGTGAATACGGACGGATACGTTGAGCCCCTTTGTGGATCAAAAGCTAGTTTTTGGCAGACACGAAGGCTGATCTCTTTGCCAAGCCTCTCGGCAAGGGCCTTGCCGCTCGCATGGCCTCACGTATTCTCACTCGAATATGTGCCTCCATCCACCTATGTCAACGGAAGTCTTAGCGAACTGATTTTCATCAACTAGATTTCCATATACATTTCGTAAACCTCGTACACCCCAATACCACGTAAGTTTCCCCTAGAGTCATCCCGTAACTACATAACTACAGAAGAAAGAATAAAAGAATAGAAAAAGAATCCACGTCATGAAAAACCATTCCGCTTCATAAACTAAATTATACTACAATAATCACACACCAAAAAATATGCGGCCACACCAAGTGACTTTACTCCTTATGGTCAATATTGATGGCTTGCTTGTTGTCAATCTCCAGCTCCCTCTCGCGGAGATCGCCAAGGTAGTCCTTGGACTCCATCGTAGGCACAAACCAGGGTGCATTCTCCCACAGATTATCCATAGCCTCCAGGGGAACCTTTGCGGTCTCAGGAAGAAGGGCCCAGAAGAAGATAGCGTTGGTGAAATTGCAGACAATCTGTATTGCGCCTATTAGTAACTGCAAGACCTCAACATGACACTGAGGGAAAGAAGCAACTTACGAAGAGAATGTAGTATTTCCAACCAATATTTGTCATAGCAATAGGGGTGACCTGTCCGATCATGGTGTTCATGGCAAAACTCATCATGGTAGCCAACGACACACCGCGAGATCTGGTAGCCGTGTTGAACACTTCGGAGGGGATAATCCAAGAAAGCGGACCGCAGGTGGCACTGAACGAGAAGTTGTAAATCCATGTGGTAGCAATAAATCCGATCTGGGCGCTCATCGGGTTATCTTTGCCAGGTGGGAACAACGCCAGAAGAATAGCTCCAACGATGAAGGTGACACAATTGCCCAAGTTCCCAAAGATCAACGGCCAACGACGACCAAAGTGGTCAATGAACAAGATACACAAGAACTGACCCACAAGCGCAATTATAGAGTTACAAGCCTGGTAGAGCAATGTCCTCTCGGTGCTGACACCAATCTGTTTGAAGATATCTGGTGAATAGTACTGGATTGCACTGACACCGGTCAACTGGATCGACGACTGCAGAGCCACACACAAGAAAATTCTCCTGAAGTTGGACTTGTTCTTGAAAAGCTCTCCCCAGGTCTTTGCGCTGTGCTCATGTTCGTGGGTGATCTGGTCCTGGATCTGCTCGAACTCGGCACGGACCCACGGGTCATCCTCGTTTCCATGGGCGTGGAGCTTTGCGAGGGTCTTAAGACCAAGGTTAACCTGGCCGTTGTCGATGAGCCAACGTGGTGATTCAGGGAACAAGAAGATGAGGAGACCAAGGATAGCTGCCGGGACACACTGAATTGCGAGAGGGACACGCCATTGGTTGTCGTCAGTGGGAGCAAAGCCCTTGTAGGCGCCGAAACCGATCCAGGAAGCGCAGAGGGCACCGATACCCAACATGAACTGCTGGAGAGCAGTGATACGACCACGAATTGTAGGGTGCGCCAACTCGGCCTGGTACAGCGGGATAATCATGCAAAGAACACCGACACTGCGATTATGTAAGTCCTAGTTCTGGATATGAGGTATTGTGAACATGACTTACCCAATACCGGCAACGAAACGTCCAGCTTGGAGGAATCCAATGTTCTGACCACCAGCTTGAAGACCACCTCCGAGAATAAATGTTGCAGTAGCAATGGAAATAGTTCCACGACGGCCAACCCAGTCACCGAGGTAACCTGCGAAAAACGAACCGCAGAAAGCTCCTGCAGTGAACAGCGATACTACAAGACCTCTGCAGATACCGGTATGTTAGTATACCATTAAAAAAGCCTATAAAGAGGAAGAAACACACTTCTCATTATCTGAAGGGCTGAATTTTGCAACGAAGGAATCTGAAGCCACAACCTGAGCAATAATACCCAAATCATAACCGTAATTGAAAGACCCTATCGACGCGAACAGGCCGACAAGGAACTGGTACCACTTTGGTGGAATAGTCATCTCGAAGAAGAAAAAGAAGCTCCTGTCTCAAAAGTCAAAAGAACACACAAACTGCACGACTGAACTGCAGCAACTGACTGAGCGACTGTCTGGATGAACGGACAGAAATCCCAATTGCGGGGAGGCATCCTCGTGCCATTTAAATAATCTACACCTTTATGCTTCGCTTCCAGTCCCCCCTACGCTGTTCATCATTACCCCATACATAACTCCGGATTATCTGATATCACGCTTGCCCATGGGGCAAAATTAATAACATGCGGCGCACCCACTATCCCCTCCCCTGCCTCTCTGCTCACGATTCCCGATTTCCCCATTTCCCCAGCCTGAACCCTAGTCGAACCCCAGGTGTCCCCCACCACGCTAGGATAGCTCTAACGTGGGGATGGGGCGATATACTAACAAGCATCGCACATTAGGGGTGGGCACAAGATTCAGGGAATCACACCCTGCCCCAGCCGTTGAAGCTAGAATTGATTTCAGGAACAGCTATTCCCACGTAAGCTACATCACGAGCAGGGCAAGAATTGGGGAGTCGGAACTTTGAGCTTTTTCAGGGCTAGCTAGTAGCTGCGATAATATGCTCTGCCATGGGGTTCAGATCGTGGGGTATCGTCTCAGAAAAAGGGCAGGTGCTGTCGAACTCAATGCTGTATGTAGGCAGAGTAGGTAATCTGTGGGATATATTGACAGGCATACTCGGTATACGTACTCGCGATAAATTGCAGTTGGCCAAAAGTTCCGTATGGGGGTTGGTAGGCAAGCATGTCGGACTATCGGTGTGAAGGCAGCGAACGTGAGACCAAGGCTTGATATTCGGCACGCTCCAACTCGGCTAAATTGCAACATAATAGAGTAGTGGGCCATGAGATTTCAGCCCAGTCTCACCTCCTTCCTCCACAACATAGCCGCGTTCCATTCCTCCCTCGTGTACCTCGTGGTCCGAGGTTCTGAGGTTGAATTCACCTGACCGCAAGCTAGAGAACGAGAAGTTGCTTTTGGAAATCCAAGCGAGGGCGGGAGAGCCTGTACAACTGAGGCGTAGCTATATACTCAGGCTAAACGGAAAAGCAATTAGAGGGCTGGAGGTCAATAGCCCGAGCTTTCAAATGCGAGCTAGATAATGAACCGAAGAAAATTTTATCGTGTTTTTGGTATATTGATTGATGATGATTGCTCGATGATGAAGTGCTCATTCATGCTAGACTGGCGGGAATCCCGGTTATTGGATATTCTGAAATGTTTCTTGATCTTGATATGAGTACTACTAATCCAGTGACCCAGGTTCAAGTTTTTCCGTTAGTGCATATATCGGTACTTGGATACATCATGTACGTATTCAGGGGAGGCTGGTTCGATTTACCCATCGTCCTGTGGGACTTCTATGTCTTCCGTGCCTTCATCAGGAGCATTCGCGGCCACAAAACTCTCCGATGTTCACGGCAGGCTCGGCAGGGCGGCGGCGGCCAGGGGACGTTGGAAATGTCTAACGCGTTTAACAGTCGGCATGTGCCTAAACTGGCACTGGCACCCTCGCGTGGGAGAAGCAGAAGCAGGGATGGCGCATAAGCCCTACCCTACCCCGCTTTCTCTCTAGCAGGGGGCGGTTAAAAGCTTGAGTTTAACCATTTAAACGCTTTACTAGCACTAGGATTTCTCCGACGTCTGCCCAGACTTTACAATTCACGACAAAAGCTCTGAAAGTTGAACAGTCTCCCATACTGAACGTCAAATGCTTGCTAGTGCCATGGGATCCCCCGCAATTGGTATTCTTCCAAACAGCGGTGAATCCCGGGTTTTCAGGGCCATCGGCATCAGCTGCATCTCATATTTTACATATGTACATAGATACACCAAAACTTTGAATGTTTGAACGATAGGCGTTCTCTTCTACCGTTTTCCCAAGTCACCGGGACTCACGATCTCTCGATTTGGCTTCCGCTATCTCATCTCTGCTAGACTTCGCAGTTTGGCAGTTTATCCACCCTTTTTTGTTGTCGTATGTACCTCCTACACGCAGTTTCATGTAGCTTCCTGGGTATTTCCACGGTGCTGGTGAGCCAGCTGCAGAAATCCAAATGTTTTCTCCACTTGTCTTCCCGATCCGAAAGACCCCCTCATCTTCGATTCCGTCCTCATGACCTCTTGCTTTGAGGGGGCATTTAAACTCGTCGTTTCCTCTGCCCTTTCAGAACCCATCTTCTCGCATCCCCCTCTGCCATCCCTCTCCTCTGCACCACTATTCTGTGTTTCTCTCCCCCAATAAAATACGTTCCATCCATATATTATTCGCCAGTTGATCCGGCACAATGACGACCTTCACCAAAATCGCCGAAGATGCCACCCCCTCAATCAGCATTGACACTGACCGTGTCCTGTCTGAGATCAAGCCAGAAATCTACTCCGGCTTTACAGAGTGCGTAATCTATTGACTCTCGCTTGCCTGTGACGCAATTGAAAGATCTGTGTCACCATCAAAGCAGTTCATTCCATTCTGACGAGAGTTCATAATCACTAGACACATGGGAAGATGTATTTACGGCGGTCTCTATGATCCCGGCAACTCCCTTTCAGACGAGAACGGCTTCCGGAAAGATGTCATTGAGGTTTTCCAAGAATTGAAGACACCCGTTGTTCGGTATCCCGGAGGGAACTTCGTTGCGACCTACCATTGGTACGAGGGCGTTGGACCGAAGGAGAATAGACCGGCTAGGTATGATAAAACTATATGATCCTAATCCTAGCTCTTGGTCAATTTGCGGTTAAAATAGAGATTGGCTAACCTAGTTTGGTTGTTTTGTTAATAAAGGCCTGAGCTTGCATGGAACGGGATTGAGATGAACACATTCGGTACTGATGAGTTCATGAAATGGTGTAAAGTTGTGGGGACAGAACCGTATTTGGCGCTTAATATGGGCACTGGTACCCTTGATGAAGGTAACTCCGATTCTTGAAGAAAAAAGGTTTTGGACATGGTTCTAATGAGGTTCTTTATTAGCTTTGGGATGGGTTGAGTACTGCAACAGTGATAAGAACACATACTGGGCCAATATGCGCCGAAAGAACGGTCATGAGAAACCATACAATGTAGGCCATAATTCCCCCTATCTCACTCTCACCGCAATTCTCGTCCAGATCCTAACTAGCACCGCTTAGGTTAAATACTGGGCTCTCGGAAACGAGGTCTATGGAGAATGGCAGGTAGCGGCAATGACCAAGGAGGATTACGCGAAGAAAGCATACCAATGGGCAAAGGCATTGAAGCTCCTTGATCCCTCAATCACTCTTATTCTTTGCGGTGAGACCGGGTACTCAGACTGGGATCGATATGTCTTGCAGGAGTGCATCAAGTGGACCGACATGCACTCCATCCACATCTACACATGTGACAAAGAGTAAGTCCACCAGATAAGCCCCGTAATATAATAATCCGGAGTACTGACCGATTCCGTAAATAGACATCTCCCCAACGCCAGCGCTCCCCTCTCAGCCGAACGCTCCATTGAAATAGTCGCGGCCTACATCGACCAAGCACGCATCCAAGCGAAGTGCAAGACCCGACCAACAATTTGCTTCGACGAATGGAATATCTGGGACCCCATCCGCGCGCCTGGAGACAAGGGCGCGGAAGAGCTATACACCGTATCGGACATGTTAGCCATGGCCGTCTGGTGTAACGTCTTCATTCGTCAGTCCAAGTGGCTCGGAATGACAAACATCGCTCAAAATATTAACGTTATTGCCCCTGTCATGACCACGCCCCGTGGTCTCATTAAACAGACAATCTACTTCCCTTACTACCTCTTCACAAACTACATGCGTGGAAACACCCTCGGCACCCATCTTAGGTGCGGGACATACGACGGTAGGACTCAACCTGACTGGATTGAGACCACTATGGATACCCCTTGGTTGGACGTGTCTGCCTCGTTGTATGAGGGAAAGGTCGGTCTTGCAGTCGCAAACATCCACCCTGAGAAAGCGTTTGATGTAGAGATCAAGGGACTTCCAGAGGGCGTCGAGGTGGACGTCTACTATGTCACCGGTGAGAACCTGACTGATGTCAACACTGAGGAGAAGCAAACTGTGGGTATCAAGGAGAGCAAGTGGACCTCAAAGGCAAAGTATACTTTCCCTAAGCATTCGTTCACTCTGCTGAGGTGGAAGGCATAAGTGTGAGAAGTGGTGCGGGGTCGAACAAACAAACTAACGTAGAGAGCGGGATTTTCTTCATTTTGGCTGGGAATTGTTGATCAGTTCACTTTGTCATGTGTATATGTAGCTAGAAGGAGCCATTATTCGATATAGAACAAACAATGCATGTCGTTTTTCTTCGTCTGCGGGGGTACTCGGGTGATCTGATTCAGCCGAATGCAAGGGGCGGGAAGGTGACTTTTACTCTAATTTGCGCATAAGCGACGACGTCTGGTTACGCGCATATTGTGGGTGTGGCTCCGGTTAATTCTCGTGGACTGGCGAGTGAGGACCTGTGAAGTAGCGGGCTTTGCACCAGTGCATCAGGCCACCAAACGAAACATGATTTGCGAATGAAGAAGGGTTATAGCAGATCATTCGTGGAGACTGTAGGTGCTCCTCCGGAGATTATATGATCCGGTCCATGCGCCGGGACAGTAGATCATGATGTGCAGAAACATGTTAGATATGGGCGATCTCTACAGTACTCTCGGGATCTCATGATCTATCGAACTCACTTTTATTGACGCAATGGATCGTTTATTTTTTTAATTCAGTCTTCATATGTGCTTTTAATTACTGCCGGGATAACACTGGATCATAAGAAAGTTGCCTCCGGGGAGCCGGCCGACCAGGGCCGGTAGGCAATGCGTGCATGTACTCCTGACATTATACTTGTCTTTTGTCGGTCGTATGACAATTCATATCTTGAGTTAGTCGGAATCAGAGGAATCATCTCAAATATTTCCACGGAGACAACAAGAGTAGAGGCAGAAGAGATGAGATTGTTAATCGAGTGATATTCT